AACTAAGTTGAGCACGAAGCTCCTATCTAATGGCAGACGTGCCAGTCTTATATAGAACCTTCGTTCTCCTAAATCAGTGCCCGTTGCTCTGATCCTTTCTGATTCCTCAGAGGTCGTCAGGCCGACTACCTCTGATGCCAGTCGATCATGTGACAGTAACCAAAGGAAATCCTTGGATCGCTTAGCTAGCCTAAGCATCCCTATTCGCTATAAGAGTTCGTGATAATGCTTAACCTGTCAGGACGCCGCCTGGTCTTCACTCGTCACCTGCTAACACGTGATTCGTGACAGTAAGCTCTCTTTAGCTTTAATAATACTTGTTCTTGTCCTTGCTCGATAGTACTTAAATCCTTGCTCGATTCGGTATAGGTATACTACCTTTGCTCGATAGTTCCTTAAAGTCCTTACTTGACTTTAATTTAAGTTCCTTATACGAAGTTAGTAAACTTTTCACGGTTTATAAGTTTATATAATAGTTTAGTTTACTGGGGTAAACCCGGGCTCATAACCTATTAAGTAGATACCCTCTAGAGATAGTAATAATCTTCTTATAAGGTACAGAGTATAACAGGCAGGGGGTAGGTTAAAGAGTATGTATTAGACTAAGGAGGGAAGAAGTCGAGGCTCATACTCGGGCGATATACAGCTGACGCTGGCTTGTACGACACTAGTCCTAATCTGGACTTGGTACGCCTAGACTCTAGTTACTACGTATATGATTTCCTTAACATACCATACTGTTAGTACAAGTAAATATCTACCAAGTCTTCTCTGTCTTCACGCCCATGTATCCCCTACAGTACCCAAACTCCGCAGCCTCCAGAACTCCCCATAATATGTGAATCCTACCTAGTTTTTCCGCGCTCTAATTTCTTTCGTAGTCTCCTCCATCTCCTCCTTCATAACCTCATTAAATTGTTCCCAGCCATCAAGATAAACATGGTGGCCAGCTTTCTTAATAATAACGACCTTGGCACTTCCATTCTCCTTTTTTCTCTCTTCTTCGGTTGCTGTACTCAAGGCCTTCTCTCTCGCCTCCTTCAGCCTCTGCTCAGCAGCGAATCCACCTGCTACGTCCATCCAGTCATGCTCACCGTACATCATGATGATTGGGATACCAGTCTCCTTTAATGCCGTCTTTGTGGATGATGTATTTCGTGTTGTGGGAGGGTGAAGAGGTTGTCGACCAACACCTGCGATTCTTCGAATTAACGGGCTTCTAGCAAACGCTCCAGGTGCGAGGATATACGCAAGCGCATACTCCCCACTTCCCTTTTGACGAAAGAGAGAGTATGCATAGGTGTGCAAAGCCTCTGATTCTTGATCTGGCAAATGTGAAAATCGTCTAGAAGTCCATCCTGAAACAAATCGTGGACCCAAAGGTCCGGTCCAGCGGATAATACTGAATGGAGAAACATTCGCATCCCAAAGATAGGTGAGCCATTTTGGTAGAGGTTTGCGAGGTGGCTCCTTGACTTCCTTACCCGGTCCTTTCGCCTCTGCGTTGAATAAATTGTTATTGTCTTTAACAATATCACTCTCCTGATCTTGCGTAAACTCATTTGCCATTGTTGAGTCTTGAGGCTCTGGCATCTCAGCTTGCATGGCGTACGGGTCTTCTGGTATACCGACTGGTGAGGCCAAAATAAGTTTGTTGAGACGTCCCGGATATTTCAGAGCATATGCTACTGCCATGTATCCTCCCATACTATGCCCCAGCAATGTAAACTTGTCGATTTTCCTCAGTACTCGCCACTCCTCCAAGGCATCTATAAACCAATTCTCGGCTTCTGCAATCTTCCCGGCTTGATCCTTCGCATGGATTTTGAATGTTGGTCGACTGCTCCTCCCCATACCCAGCATATCTAGAGCGTATATTTTCCAGCCGGGAACCTGACTGAGACCCTCGAAGTTCTTGTAAAAGAAACCAAGACCAGCACCATATCCGTGTAACATTACGAGGTTTTCTTCAACTTCCTCTCCCGCCCTCTCCACGGAAAACTCATTCAGAGCTCGATCGCGACCGCTCAGCTTGATCAAATTCGAATGCCATGATCTTGGACCATGGGGGTCATTTATAGAAGTTGTTCTAACGGGCGTAGACTCCCTCGCGGGATCTGCATTTACGCTAGTTGTCGATTGGGCCGCGGATGCCGGTGCAGACCCAGTTTGCGTATGTGTAGGTGGTTTTTTGAGATGTGGAATGAATGCAAGCACGTTATGCTCTGCTATCGCGGGAGATACGCCTGTCCACCATTGACTAAGTCCAGCTTTATATCCCAGAGGAAAGTACTGGGGTTTCGGTGGGATCTCGCCATTCTGCTTTGCACGCTGCGAAGCAAGTACGGGTTGTGGAGGGCGATTCGAAGGAGAGTCTGATCGCTCAGATGCCGTCATGATGGTGGAGTAAGAATGCGCTTCTGTCTTGGTGTTGAAGGTTCTCAGTCGAGGGATTGCAAAGCGTCCAGAGAGAGCGTTGGCGGGGAATGATCGCAACAAGAGCGACGGGAAATAGTTGAGTTGATACAATGTGGAGATGGTTGAAAGGCAATTGCGTTGCCTCTCGGGAACTGGTGGGATGGAGCTTTGTTTTGTTTCTCGTCTGGGCATGCGGACTTAGGGCGCAGGAGGATTGTTAAATGCGTGGCAAAGGGGACGGCGCGGAGTTTCCGAATTCACCACCGTAGATTTATTTTCAGCCGCTTGATGACGATGATCATGACGAATAGTATAGAAGTTTAATTGCGTAGGCATCAACTCTACCGTACACCGATTGAAGCTGGAGCTAGGGCTGGAATGGCCGAGAAGTTTTCAAAAAGTAGAGGTTGACTTGATGGGCATTCTCAAACGTTATTTGTATATCCTCCACTAGGTCCTTTTTACTGTACATGTACCCGTACTAAGTCGATCAATAGTACTTGAGTAATAAAGCCGTGGTTTACGCGAGTACCCGTACTTACTGTACTCGAGTACCGCCGGTCTTTAGTTGTCCCGCACCAGCGTTCAGGGGACCTTCATCCCCGGTCGCATCGCATCGCATTCGCATACAGTATAATTGCTTCGTACAAGACTTGTACGTCCCCAAACAGGGAGTTGCACAGAGCTTCAATGACGTGTGTGGTTTTATGGGCATCTCGAAAAGTCAAGAAGCTAGAGACTAGAACGTGGGGCACTGGCAAGATATCACAGCGCATTGGAATTTCGAGGCTCAAAGAAACTCAGAAAGCTTGTGCTTGCACTGATCACGGCCTTTAAGCTTGAGCTTCTACGCCGAGGTGGCCTGTGGCCTGTGGCCTGTGGCCTTGCGATCAACACCAACTCCAACTCCATCACCATCCATCCCCAAACCCCATCGCACTCTTTTTTAGCAAAGACGAGGTTTGAAAGCCACCTCTTTTTGCGCATCCAAGAAAACTTCCCATAAAATGACCACATAACGGAAGAAGCCGAACGTCGCATCATGTCGAGTCTAGACCAAATAGTGAAAGGAGCTCCTCCACCAGGCACCAATTGCGATCCCCCTCCAACAACTCCTATCATCGTCACCGAAGCTCCAAACTCCTCTTCTCTATCAGATCCTCTGGCAAATCTGCCATCATCTCCGCCCCAAATTTATCTAAACCTTTTGATTCTCGAAGCATCTCTACGAGCGCAATGGCTTCAACTCCGAACCCGCCGGCGGCAGCATACATTCTTCCTTACACTTCTCGGTTTATGGCTAGCATACTTCAGCTACGCCCTTTTCTTCCAGCCAAGAGAAGATGGTAGAGGGGTGGGAGGCTCGGTGTACTGGGTTGTGGAAGTTACAGAGAAGGTGTGTTTGGGTGGTGGCATAGTCACAGGCATATTGGTATGGGGAACGGGAACATGGTCGAGGGGAATACGATGGCCCCGAAGATGGGTATACACCACGAATCGCGGACTTCGAGTTTTCAACTGCAAACTGGTTGTGATAAAACAACCCATGTGGGGAGAGATAGCATCGACATTATCATTTCTGTTCTCGTACGGACTTTTTTCCGGCAGCAGCGGTAGTTCATATCGATTCGTCGACTACACAACATTGAAAGAGTCCGAGAAGGCGCAAGAAAAGGGGACCCATCACGCTTTACCAAATATAAGCGAAAACGATGTAGACGGGCGCGAGGAGGACTTGGAGCCTGGAGGGGACTATATCAAACTTCTACTCCTTCCGAAACCCTTCTCTCCGAATTTCCGCGAGAACTGGGATATATATCGAACCGAATACTGGGAGAAAGAGAATGAGCGTCGTGCTCAACTCCTTAACATGATGAAAGCCCGCGATAGAAAACTCGCAAAGGAACAAGGTGGTTGGCTATGGTGGACCGGATATCGAGGATGGAATAGAGGAAAGGCTTCTGATTTGGAAAAGGTGCAACACCATTCTTCTGTCCATCGTCATGGCTCAGAGAAGGACCAGAAACGTACACGAAGTGGCAGTGTTCGGGATCGATCGCATTCCCGCAATTCTTCTAGGAGCGCGACACCACTTCTGGAAGCCGAAGATGGACACTCCACCAGTCGTCGGACTCGACGGGGCAGTAACGCATCATCTGCCTCTGAGAGACGAAAAAAGAAGACCACTAGTTCAGGAACGAAACTCACTCCTTCAGGTTCTCGTTCGGTCACCCCCGAAGTTCGCTCTCCCTTAGTCAGGGAGAGCAGTTTTACGAGTATCAGTTCTGTGGAGTTGGATCGTCCTGGTTCAGCTGGAGGAGAGAGTGGTGCCTCGGGATCTTCTACCAAAGTGGCTGGGACTGATTCAGCGAAATCCAGCTTGTCGAGAGCGACGGGGATAAAACCTGGGGGCTTGAAGAGGGGGAGTGTGAGGGGGAAATAGGGATATTATGTGTTTAATTTTGGTAGATTAATTGCAATGGGATTCACGATCTCTTACCTTTTCTACATCTCTTTATCGTGGGAAGACGCACTGACTATTATACCTGTGACTTCGATTTTTCATTTTACCCCAGAGTGAGCCGTTGAACACTCAACTTCGCCACTTCTTATTTGCCTAGAATATACAACATCAACCTTCCAAGGTCCCCTTTCCAACCCAAAAGCTCATCTTGATTCTCCCTTACCCTTTCGAATATGGACGACTCCTCTCATTGCCACTATCCTTACCGCACCACTCTCAATATACGTACCAGACACCGAGTCTTGATCCTTAGCTATCCCGGCTTCCACAAAAGATTGATTCAAAATCTATACGCCGTTGCTCTAACTTTCGTCTTGATGGCGCGTGTCTATCAAGCATCTTTGTAGCCCAAATTGCGGAGTTTGCTACTTCTTGGATTTAATCTTTACGTAGTTGATGGATAAATACGACTTTCGTGCAGCGGATTGAATACTGTAAGCTAACTCATGGCTTGAAGCACAGGGAATTATTCAGAGGTTGATTCATTACGATTCCGTTGCTGGGTTTGAGTTTGCTGAGTTTAGAGGAATGGTTTGTAGAAGCGGTGACACGGAGACGTTGGTTGTTTATGGGAGACTTGAGGATTGGTTTGGGATTTTGATGTTGAGGATAGGTGATACAGTAGCGTGGGGGACGGTGTATAATGTGTTGTTGTATGTGGAATAAGATGTAAGAAATTAAGTCATTACTTTATTTATATATCTAGCTGTAATAGTATTATTCTGAAGCTTTTGGATAGTAACGATAGTTAGATAGAGAGTTTAGAATAACTGTTTATCTCTGCTTTTTGTCGACCTGGGTATACTATAATAACTAAGTTACTTATGCTAAAGATTTTGCAAAGGAAATTTCTATAGTAAATATAGAGTACTACCCAGGTTTCTTATGTTAAAACACCGATTTAAACTTCGGACTCCTTAAATATTATATACGGGGATAATACACGTACTTTGACGCGAAATCACCTTTCTTTTCTGCCTTTACTTGACGAATTCGTTATTGCTAGATAGTATTTCTCAATGGAATCCAGCATTGGACTTGGTTATACTGTATAGGCTTCATTCCTTTTGGGTTTCGTTGTTGACGCTCAGGGGAGAGTGGGTAAGCGAGACTTGGCATATTAACCAATGATGATGATGGATATCGGAACGAAGAACAAGTTTGGGTAATGTTAATTTAGAGAAGTGTTTATTGAGTCCTCGGCAATTAATATGTAAAGAGTGAGGCTTCTGTGCTCGACTCCTGTCCGTTTGCCGAGCGAGGAATGGAGATATTTAGCTCTTGATTTGTAACATCTTAGGTAGAACCATGTCACCTATCCGCCCGGGGGGTTTTTCATATAAATCGAGGACGTGCACCGCTTTTTGGTGTGAATTTCGATGCGAAAAATAACGGGGTGTTAATTCCCTACCGGAAATATCCCCGGGCGGTCCAGGAGATAGGGAATACAAGGTCACTGAATAGGCAATTCAATACGAAATTGTTTGAGTATATACAATTCTAGAGCTTAAAGAGGACCTAGAGATGTTATTAATACGAAATAAAAAGGAGAAGTCAGGTAGGCTAAAAAGGGTAAGAATGATATATAATTTCCACCTCACGAGTCATCTCACAGTGAAATACCTTTTTGAGATTGGACCCAACAGACCCTGTGGCCCCTCAACCAAACCACCCTACGAATTAAGATAATATATATACCACCTCAGAAGCGAAACTGCCCTTCTCTCACCTCTTATTAAATCCACCCTTACTCCTCCCTAAACCCATGGGTATTTTCCCTCCTCCCCCCCAAAGTATCCCATTAAATCCCATACCAGTAATTAACGCCATCCTTCCCTCATATCATAGCAAGTATCTCATAAAGAATGTGTAATTAGAAAACATTATTCTGATATTCTCAGGTTTTTTCGTTTGTTCGTTAATGTCCTATACCAGGCCGTCAAAGGAATGTAGTGGGGGATCATTTCGTATCATATCGTAGCAAGTCAAATGCTGTGCAGCCATCTGGGTATAGAATTCTAAAGGATCGTGGGGGGTATCATGTTCTCCTCATCTCATCGATGAGGGCCAAATAAAAATCGTAAAAAAGATTCGTCATGATACGCGGATAATTCGGGTTCGTGGAGAATGGAATTGCAAAGGGCTTGGTTGTGAATCGTAAGGTTTGTGTAAATTCGTACTGAGAAAGATCCTAGTCCGTCTAGGAAAGGAGGGAAAGAATTGAAATGAATAGGATTGATGCGAGAAGCATTAGTGAAGGAGTGATTTGTGAGGATGATCCGGTGACTTGAATGGGGCCGCCGGTTGTTGTAGTCGATGGTGTAGAGCTTGGAGTAGAGCTTGGAGTAGAGCTTGGAGTAGAGCTTGGAGTAGAGCTTGGAGGAGAGCTAGGGGTAGAGATTGGGGTAGGGCTTGGGGTGCTGCTCGGTGGATAAACGGACTCTGTACTTGATGCAGAGCTGGAGACAGAAGTTGGGACAGAGACAACTGATGATGATGATGCGACTCCTGAATTGGCGGAGACTTGAGTTGAGCCAACGCTGCTGCTGCTGATGAGGCTAATGATGCTACTGCTGCTGCTTGTTGGAGAGCTTGCTGGAATAGCCACAGGGCTCGTATCGCTAACAGCTGGTTCTTGGCTAGTAATACTAAGAGTTGGAGTTGGTGCCGTGGATATAGCGGCCACCTGGGTAGCCTGTATTGGAACTACTGTTGCTGTGCTGGTGCTTTCTTGAACAATGGACTGGGGAGACTGAGCTGAACAGTATTCGATGAACTGAGCAAACCTAGGTTGAACATGCGTTTGGAAGCCAACCTTCGTTGTATCCATGTTTTCGTCGACACATTCATTGCAAGAGGCATAATTGTCTAGGAATGCAGAACCCGACGCGCAAAGGACGGATGTTTTTCCAACCTTCTGTGCTTCGATTAAACAGTTATTGCATGTAGAGTAGCAAATTGCTGGAGTTATAGAGGAGTCACGCTTTGATAATTTAACATCGCGAATTTCGATGGTGCCTGTAGAAGCAGATGGTGGCGGGTAGTGGCTAAGCGCAGTTCTTGAGGCGTAATCTCCAATGGTATAAGTGGTGAGAATCTTGTTCCCTTGAGGGGAGTAAACGAATTCGGTAACAATCTTAGTCACGAAAATCTGGTAATCAAGGCCAAATGCGTTAGGATCGAGATTGAAATATCCATCTGTAGGAGGATAGTAATCGGTTTTGTTGGCTGGCCAAATCACGTCCTCAAAATCCGGGCTTGGAATACAGAATTGAGCATCGCACTCATAATCATCATCTGGAGGCTCGGCCCATAATGTGCATCCACCGGGCTTTGGTGGAGAGCACACATATCCGGGAGAGCATCCCCAAGTAGCGTATTTACCAAAATGCTGAGGCCTGTTCGAAGGCATCTTTGTAGGTTTAGGACATATTACTTGAACCGTCTCCGTTTCTGTGGCTGTAATTGTCCCGGTTTGGCCTTGAATCGTCCGTGTAATGGCAGGCAAGGTAAATAATGAAGTCACGACGCTAGTAGGCCCTGGTTGGATGGATATTATGGTTGAACCAGCTTGCGTAAAGGTGGTTGGGATCCCAAGAAGACTTGTAGTATAGGTAGATAATATCGTTGAAGCCGGTAATGTCAAAGTTGAGCCAGGTTGAGTGAAAGTGCTTCCTGGACCAACGATAGTAGTCCCTGGGCGAATTACAGTCGTACCCGGCAGGGTAATCGTGGTGGGGAGCCCTATGAAAAATAGGAGTTAGCCTCATTGTGTAAAGAATTAATATATCCAGATAGAATTTGGAGGGAAGAAGCTTTTTGAGAGGAAAGAGCATGTCGGCTCGCCAGAGACAGCCTGAGAGTAGAAAAGAAGTCTTGGAAAACACCCACCTGGAGCAGTAGAAATCACGGTCGTTCCAGCTTGAGTCAGTGTTGTAATTACGCCGGGCTGAGTCGATATAAACGTGGACGCCGGTTGTATAGATGTCGTAAGGGAAACTGAGACTGAGACGGAGGTGAAAGTAAGCGTGGAAACCAAGGTAGAGGGCGGCTGGGTGATTGTTGTCAAGGATCCTAGAATTGACGTAGTTATCGTAGAAGCCGGTTGGGTGAATGTTGTCAAACTTGTAGATAGTGATAAGGAGACGGACGTAAAAGTAACCCTGCGAAATGTCAGTGTGCTTTTTACTCTTAGACGATGAAAATTGGAAATTCAAAAGCACAGGACAGAGTTAGAGTATATTGGATAACCAGTATATCCTCCCAAGTCATAATACTGTAGAGAGTTTTGAAAATGGCCCAAGGATGACACGGGCATTGCTGAACAAGATTTGGCAGAATCAAGTTATCAATTCCTTGATTCTCACAAGTCTCATTGAACCATGGCCACATTATCTTGTGATGTCCGACAAAAGCATGCTGTCTAAGACATGGCACGCTGCTCATCATATTCTCTGGGGTACCTTGAAAGACGGAGACTTGAGGAAGCAAACCATAAAATCCATCTACAAGACTGCTACACGTGATGATCAAAACGGTCACGTTTCAGTCATGTGACCTCGAATCTTTTACACTTCGACAGAGTTTTCCAGACACAATAGAAGCCTTTTTGGAGCACTTTCAAGGAATGCGCAATAAGTTATACCAGCTTGAGGGAAAGGCTTCAAAAGAAGCGATTCAGGAAACGGTTAAGCAGAGAAATAAGAACACATACATTGATATTATAGTCGTAGGCGTCGTCAGCGCTGTTAAGGAGCCTGAAATTGACGTAGTAACAGTAACTGGAAGGGTAAAAGTTGAAGTTTCGAGCTCAATTTCCGTGGTCGTAGTCGGTACTGGTACAAAGGAGGTAAAAGTTGACAGGTACGAGGAAACAGTCGTGTAAGTGCTAAGCGAGATATCTGTGCTGGTGGTTTTTATTGTGTGATCAACTGTTTCTGTAACCGGATAGGAATAAGACGATGTCCGAGTCAACGTGGTCGTATGCCAGGAAATGACAGTTGTGGGGACCTTTTCCGTAGAAACGCTCGTGTGGGTAACAGTTGAGAGATAAGTACTAGTACGTGTCGAAAACTCCGTTATTGTGGAGGAGTGATCTACGGTAGTTGTTGTCGGAATTCGGGTGACCGAAATGGACGTTATTACCGAAGTGTATGTGGTTGGGACGGTCCGAGTTGAGGTTTTCGTGAGCGTAGAAAGACTAGTACTAATCTTTGTAGAATATCGCGTTATCGTAGTAGAATCATGCACGGTTATTAGGGTTGGAATCTTAGTGGTATAGATAGATGTCGAAACCGATGTGTAGGTACTTATAGAGAGCTGTGTTGTGGTCGCAGTATTGGTTTTGCTACAAAAGAATGAGTATGTATTTCTTTCATTCAATTGAGAACCGAAACAATTAAAAAAGACGAGCTTGCTCTCATATACTCGTGGGAAGGTTTTAGAAGGATGAAATCGGGGCCTTGCTTACGTTGACGTGACAGTACTCGTCTCCGTTGTAGTGTTATACTTGGTCAAAGTAGTTGAGTGATCGATTGTCGTATAAACCGGATAACTTGAAACGAAAGTCGTGACGTAATTAGATGTAAAGTATAGCTTAGTCGTAGAAGTCTCTCTGAGCGTGGTAGGAACCGTAGTCTGGACACAATGTAAGTAATCGAATAAGCGAATTTTGAGGTAGCGAGACAGAAGCCCACGCCTGATTGGGTTGGACCTGCCCAGAATTGAAGGTAAGTTCATTTGGTCAAGAATCTTGAGCCAAAAGGTTGGATTCAATTTCCTAAGATTTCCAGCAGTTCAGATAATAAGGTTTTCGCTTAACCCCGAGACTTCAGGGCCTCGTTCGGGATTAAGCGAAAACCTCCCAACACACCGACTAGGAGAGATTTTGAAGACTACAACAGAGAAAAGATAAAGCTTACTGGCTGTGTACTCGTAGCTGTTGTCTTGTACGTGGAAACCTAGACATTTTCAGCCTTGGAAAAAACAGGCCGCAGCAGCGCAGCCCAGAATGTTCAATCTTACGGTGGTTACCAGCGAGGTTGTCCAAAGCGTATGGTCCGAAATCACAGTCACCAGGTAGGACTACTAACATATTAGCATGTGATTCAGTTCCGGAAAACCGAATCTTTTACCGTTGTGTACGTAATATTCCTGGTCGTAGTGTACTAACGCGCATGACATGTCAGCTTATCCCGTATTCATTACCAATTAACAGATGAGATGTCTATTTTTTTACGTAGCCGTATTCAACTTACTGAGCTTGTCTTATAATCGGTTGTGGTCTTTGTATTATCCTTGATAGATACACTCACCACCGTGGTAGGTTCAAGCACCGTAGTGGGGACCTATTTTGTATGTTAGCTCTCAGTAAGAATGCTTGCGGAAGGCAAGAACATACAGTCTCGATGCAAGTGGTGGTTTCCGTTATTGTACTCCATATAACAGTAGTTACGGGATAGCTGGAACTTGTTAAATCTTTTTCAAGATAATGATGCTTTGGACATACCCAACTGAATTGGTCGTAGTCACAGTGTAAGGAATTGACTATCAAATTATTAGTTCAGAGCCAGAAAACAGATCGAATATATTCATACCGTAGTGATCAGGCTTGTAGTAGTGGTCAGGACCTCTTTGGTGGTTCTGAAACTAGATGTCAGTAACCCATTCTTCCAGATGCACTGAATGCTCCTCATAAAGAGATTTGGAACTAACGTCTTTTCATCAGTCGTTGTAGAGGTAGCGGTATCAGTCTTGGTAGTGCTGAAATATGTTAGCGAATCTTACCAATTTCGAAAAAGTTGGAGTTACCCAGTTCCGGCCTGCGTTGAAACCACAGTCAAAGTCGATATCTTGGTTATTGTTGACGCAGAAGCCGGTACAGTTACCGTAGAGCATGGCGGCGCCCCATGTCCTCCACATTGCTTAATGATCGTAGAGCAAGGTGGCGCTCCGTACCCCCCGCACTGTTTGACAACAGTAGAGCAAGCTGGAGCTCCATGTTCACCACATTGCTTAATGATTGTCACTGGTGAGGCCGAAATTGTGATTGTTTGGGCGGAGGGATATATCGTCAATGGAGATGCTGAAATCGTGATTGTCGATTTTACGGTCACTGGATTACATGGCGTTGGATAACCTCCTCCTCCCCCTGGGCATGCTCCCTTCTCGGTGCTCGTAACTGTGAGAGTTTGCGTTGCTGTATCGCACAATGTCGAGGTTGCGCTTTTTGAACTCGTTGTATTGGAGTAAGTAGTGTATGTACCATGAGCAACTCCTAAGAGACTGCCCACCACCAGAGTTTTCCAGCCCGAGATCATTGCAGCGTAAAATCAACTGCCAAACGATGATATTGAGAACAGCAAGCCTGCCGTATTACGTGAGCGAGCGTGGTAGACCGTGACTAGAACGGGAAGCAAAACCAGCCAAAGATTTTTGCAGATGGTGTGCCTTTTCTACCGCTGGTGGGTCTTGTCCCAAGCCTGAAGGCATGGGAAGTTCCACACGAGCTCCGGGGTTGGGCGATAAACAGTAATCGTACTCAGGAGTGTTGGTCCGCCATTGGATAGCAACCAGACCGAGAGGGCATCGGTACTGCCACGAGATGGCGCTGAGTGCAGGGCCATGCTCACGACGGCAAATCTTTTGGGCTTGCTATTGTAGCATTGTACGAAAGAAGAAAATAGCTATGGGACTCTCGTCTAATGGAAAGTCGCTAGGTCTCTGGGGAGAGGAACTGACAGAAAAATACCCGAAAAATAAGTCTAATATGGCAGAAGCTGCCTTTGAAGCCGCAGATCAACTTTTGTAGCACCAATCGAAAAGCAGTAATCGGCGGCATACACGCAGGGTTCAAGAAACCAAGATGCATTGTAGAACATGATTAACCAGGATCTGTTGAAGCCCCGCATGGTGTGATCTGGACCTTGGGTGGGAGGCGCTACAGCGTTAGGCAGACAGAGTGAGTAGTGAGATACCCCATCGACAAGCGGTAAATACGAGGGAGGTCAGATTTGCCCGCTAAATGATGTGGTATGGTATCTATGAGCCGCATCACCATTTATATGCCAAGCCTTTGCGAATACGCTCACCGAGCCGTGAGTTATCAGGGACCGCAAGGCTGAAAAGAGGTGATCAGAGTTACCAATGATGGAGGAGGAATGACTGCGGGTTATAAAGCCACGATGCGATAAGACAACAAGAAGTCCTACCGAGAAGTTTCATTACGTGGACCTTTGGACAGAAAATTTCCAGACAGAAATTCTTGCTTCTTCGGTCACATCAGGCTTGAGAAAAGGGTTGTACAGCATGTTCTGCAAAAGCAAGTGAGCAGCAGATGCAGAGAGCGGGCGAGAGGTGCAGAGTTACGGTAGAGGGTCAATATGAGGCGTCTGCTGTGTCCCCTAACCTCGTAGGTAGGCTTCTCCATTACCTCCTGTCTAGAACTACTTCGCCTATCAGATAAGAAATGCATGGGAGAACGTGTGGGGTTGACAAGCTGGGGGAGGGGCTGAAAGAGGCACTTGCTTACGAGTAACCTCCATTGTCCAAACTCGTCGCAAAGGCAAGGTTTTTTGATGAACATATATAAATATTAAATTGAATGTAATCCGGTCAAAGAGGAAATGTAAGTATTGGAAGGTTACATTTCTCATTGCCGGTCTCCACATTCGCGTGCGAGTCGTCTTTTTCTTCACACGGATCTGGAAGGTGTTCCTGGATCACGGGAAGAAGGTTGAGGTGACATGATGCAGGGCCTGACAGGACAGGGAAAAAACAGTTCCGGAGAACCTCGATGGAGGAGGAGGGGGCGGGGGCCTAGATTCGTACATCAAGCCCAATGGCGCTACGGCGCATGAGCGATGACAGTGGATATGAGTACTCGAGTATGTGTGAGGGGGGGGGAGGGGTGAGGGGTGAGGGTTGTTATGAGAAAATGTAAAGGCCAGAGAACGAGCAGAGGAGAGAACGAAAGGCTGGGAGCAGATCGGTGCCAAATTGCTCTCAAACTGTACGATGATTGGCCGGCTTTCGTACCTTTATGGGTCTTCTCTTTTGTTGGGTACAGTCAGTAGTCGGCGTTCTTGTCCTTCTTCTCGCTTTGTGGGACAGGGACAATTTGTCTTTTTTGGGGACCGATCACTGGATCTGATCCGACTTGGGAGTATATGACAAGAAGTCTGGAACACTCGCTCGTGGAACACACTAACATACTTCTAAGGCAGTCGACGAAGCCTCTGGATCGGTAAGATTACCCTCCCTGTATTATGTCCAGCGACTGTACATTATTAACGACGCTGTGCAAGGATAATCTGTACCAAGTTAGCGAGGCTGGTTCCATTGACACAATCCTCAAGTCAAGCCCAGGAAGGCCCGAAGCATTTGTCATTTCAACATTTGGCACCTTCTATCCTCTGGCTTTTAGCCTTCTGAAAACCCAACTATCAAATTTTCCATATGTTGAAACCAGAATACCATCGTTCAGCCTCCATAGCTCCTTGTTTGCCGAGCAAGCTTGACATCCCATGGTAGACGACGGGCTTTACAGTGGCAACTTATAGTCAAGCAGTACGGTCCACCAGTACCGAGTACTAACTCTCAAACTCTCCAACGCCTGCCGGACAATCTTTCCCATTGATACCAGCTGCTGATATGATCGTCAAGTGCAGGCTTTTGTCCGCCAGAGCCGCAAAAGCGGAACGCGAGCCTTTCGCCACGCAGTAACCGTTTCCGTTCCCGAGGATACAGAGATATTAGACCCTTGGGGTAGGGGCCATCCCAGATTTTCCGTACCCCGCGTGCTTGTGCTGGCCCTTTGGATCACGTTTTGGGGGAGAAAATTGGTGATCCCACCCGGCGCATATGTAAGCAATATCAGCAGACGACTATCCTGGTTAGGTTCGTCCACTTCAAGCCTATCGCGCTCCAACTTGCACTTTAAGCCAACAAAACTTATGAGGCACAACAAGGTGATTTAATTATTATTATCCGGTGCAGGAACCCTATCTTCGATTTTCATTGCCGGTTGTGATGGTGGTGTTGGCGTAATGTTGGTTTTCTGATTAGCAAACTCGTGGTTTGATTGTGGAGCAATCAACAAGGTGTAGCTTTTTGTTCAAATTGACCTTCTATTGTTGGTGAAGCCTACGTTTAGATTACTGCAGGAAACAATCGTCTGAAAAGCTGCTCACAATCTAGAATCCAATCTCGACACTACTAAGATTTACGGTACCAGAGTGATCATTGTTTGGTCTGGGACCAGATCAAAACTACTACAATTCGACCAATGTCATTTGAGCAAGGCTGAAAAAGGCGGGGATAAACCCACTTCAAATACCCCAAGCCAAGATCTGCTGGAGCTATGACCAAGGGGAGACGTCTACAATGACCCTCGTAACCCCAATTCAGATTCAATAGCTTTGAATCCTGTTTCGTACAGCATATGCCATGTATGAAATCACCCAATGATTCGATTTACAGTCACCTCCATCTCACACCATGCCGCTCACCAACAACGCAGCTATGAGTTGGTTTCCTCTTTCCCAGACCCAACCCCCCATTGTTGGCTTTCTGCTACGAAGATCACCTGTCTTTCCAGAAGGACGGTCGCTGCCAGCACACAGTCAGAATAATGCAGCCTACTTCAGTCCTGACCACCCTTCTTCTGCTAACTCACTCGGGCCTGCCGGAGAATTTCTGAAGGCGTTACAAAGGCGGTACTCAGAAGAAATAGAATGCGGACCGTCGATTTGGGTGCGTCAAAGTGGCGGTCTTCTTTCCAACGCTAGCTGGATCATTTGTGACATTTTCTGCGAGGTTTTCAACTCTTGTGCATTTTTCAATCCTTTCCAGCCCGCCCAGCCCCAAACTCCCTCATCTTCCTTTCACTAGCTTCACTGAAATGATACCTGCTACATTAAGGGTCATGGACTGGCCTAAATATCTGTTAGTTGCTGCGGGCTTTCTTGTATATCTTGCTGTTGCACAAGAACAAGGACCGCAGCCAAGACAACTAAATAATGCCTTATGCTACTGGGACTCGCCACGAGGTAACTTCATCACTACTTCTTGTCGAGACAGTTGGTATTGACCGAAATTCAGCCGCTCTTATTCGGGACACGTTTTATATCGATGGAGGTGAACTTTCGTGGATGGCCAGCATGGCCGATGGAACACTTAGCCCAGTTAGCGACGGTGAGCTGGAAAAACCACTATGGATCCAAACTTTTCTCACGTAATTAGACAATCCACGGGGGGTGGTATTTCAATTGAACTTCAGCACGCCGTTCAATACCACAAATGACTTCAATTTTACTACGGCGTTTATCACAAACCTCACAAAAGCAGCTGGAGGTGGAAGCGCGAACAACATCTTCCCTCAGTATTATGACGGAGCTATGTTTGCAAACGATTACGATTGGATCACATATGGAGGCCTTTATTTAAACACGGATGCGTACCAGCCACAGCCAGCGAATCAATTTGTGACTTATCAAAGATATCCAGATGGACCACTGACCTTTGATCCAGGCTTTAAGTTGGGGACTTTGACAGGTAATACGACCAGGTATATTACAAACGGCGCAACCGCCAACGTCCCGTCAGAAAATCTTGGTTTCTACTTTGGGGGCTTAAGGTCAAACACTTCTGGCACTATTTTCAAGCTTTCTTCGAATACTACAGTGACAGCCAACGTCCAATCTACCACGCTTATAACGGCAGATTTATCAGACCAAGGTAGAGAGTTATGGAGCAATGATACATTGCCACCAAATATACCAGGACGTGCGAATGCGGAGCTTGTTTGGGTTCCTGTCGGGGAGAAAGGTATTTTGGTTGCGATTGGAGGAGTCATTTATCCTTCATTTGCAACTCCTCAAAAGAAAAACAATGCTTCAATTAATGCCTTGAGTGTTAGTGATATGAGTGTTTTCATGGACTTAGCTAACACGGCAACAGATAGCTACGAGCCCCACATTCATGACCACTGTTTCTGTTTATGACATCGCTACCAAGATCTGGTACCAACAGAATACCACTGGAGAAGATCATCCTGGACAATTAACACAGGGTTGTACGGTACTCGCGTCTGCTCAAGATGGCTCCAGTCATAATATCTACTGGTATGGCGGGTATGATGGTCTAGATCAAAAAGGCATTCTGTCCGACGATGTTTGGGTTTTATCCATTCCCACATTTGCATGGGTGAAGGTTAATTCAGGAATTTCTTCTCACGGGCGCGCTGGCCACCGATGTACCAAACCATATCCTGATCAAATGGTTGTGGTTGGGGGGTATCCTAGCCTCTCCGGGGACTCCATAAAATGTGTTCAGGGATTTATTCAAGTCTTCAACCTCACTACCGCTCAATGGATTACCTCATACCATCCAGAGAAGTGGTTTAACTACGGGGTACCTGCAAGCGTTGTGTCTGTTATTGGAGGAAGCGCTACTGGCAGCGCTACTCAGACAAACCCTAGCCCGAACGGATTCTCAAATTCCTCAATGACAGCTCTCTTCAATACGAAATACGATACCACTAAGATAAAAACATGGTACCCATACCACCTGGCCCCATCGAACGATGTTAACAGTACTACCATCCTTCCCTCCGCTGTTCGCAAGCCTTCCAATGGCACCCCAGGATATCTAGCCCCAGTCTTGGGCGTCGTACTAGGTCTTATTTTCATCGGTTTGGTAGCTCTTGCCATTTATCTTTGGAGGAGAAAGAAGTATCTCAATCCCAATGGAACAGCAACACAAAGTGAACAAGGAACTTTGGAAAATAGAAGATGGGTCACGAATTGGCTGAGGAACTCATCATCACCAGTTCCTGTAAACGAAAAAGCGCCGACGGTGACAACAGATGATACACATGTTCCTCTCGAGTACGAGCAAGAACGAGCCTATCTTCCAGAAGTTGGAGGTACTCAGATCGTTGAGATGGCTGGTGAGTAAAACCAAGAGTCTACAGAATGAAAGAATGCTAATAAATTTCAGATACTTCGCGACCTACAGAACTCTCTGGAGGCTTCGTCCCGCTCTCGACAAACAAAACCTCAAGAGGTCATGGAACTCATCGTTCTCCATCCACAGGCTCGCACATCTCTCATACTTCATCTGTCTCCCGCGAATCAAACGGTTCCAATGCCCGTCCAAGCATCTCTCCTCTCCCAACACCTCGCGCTGATTCTCCGCCTGTGGGCACACCAATTGGGGAACTGCCAGACAGACAACGTGGATTCAGCGGCATCTCAAATGTTTCCGAGTCCGATCGTGGACATCTGAGAGGCATCAGTGAGACTAGCGTTAGTACTGATGGCCGGGCATATGCTACACCGATGAAAATCCCGGAATTAGAGGAGGGGGGCGCAAGTTCTCATCCTGTTTATACAGGCGCGATTACGAGTGCACCAGAAGCAACGGGAGGAGCGAGACCCAGTGCTGTGAGTCCGTTGACGCCGCCGATGGCTATTCAAGAGGGAAGCGATTATATTGGCGCTGGCTCGGGTGTGTCTTCGAGTAGTCGGTTGGGTGCTGCTGATACGATGAGGGGGAGTCCGAGTGTGAGTGAGAATCGGAAGAGTATGTTTGAGGAGAATTTGGATGATGAGAAGTGAGGTTTTGGACCAGACAGTTAAGTGAGCTCAGGATGTGGGAATAGATCTCTGGAAGTGGGGTGTAATGCGTATATGATGTTATGATGATACTTTGTAATCAGGGTTTCTTTTCTTGTTTAAAATCTTTCGAGGGGGCTGGGGTCGAGAGAGCTTGGGTTTCGGCGCCAGGGAACCTTGGGTGGTTACTTCTTCGTTCTGGGGAGAGAGAAAGAAGGTTCTTGGGATACGATATATACTATCTAATGGAAGGTATTTCGGAGTTGGTATTGCTTGTCGTTGCTTATTTTCTTGGCTCAAGTAAGAGGTCTCTTTAATGTGATACAGTTTGGAAGTCAAGGGGAAGAGACATGGTAGGATGGGGTACAACTCGATTATTACTCTGTGTGAGCGTCTCGCAATATCGTTTTTCTGCAGACGCACTTGATATTATCTAACCGCTTCGTGGCTCCGTATTGCGTATTGAAACCCTCCAAGCCAATGCCTCCGTAGACCAAGAATAAATCCAGTCAAGTACAGTACTTGGGTAACAATGGAGAATTGAAACCTCTCTTTTTGATAGCAATGCATGGTCATGATCTCACAGATCTTCTTCATCGTCAGCAATTAGAGCTACTTCTATAAAACAGATTATATACTTTACGAAGATTATTTACCACTGCTTTAGTTACGTAGATCGTTACACCATTGGGCTAAACTCGCTTAGTTAGTATAAACAGTATTCGGTCTATTGTAGTTCCTTTTTTGGATAAACTACTGCAATTGTCTCCTAACATCACAAAAACCTTGGCTTATTTACTTTCATAGAATAACGACCGATTCTCATGTCTGTATGGACCTTGGCAATTACTAATTATGCTAGGGCATGGTTATTAAATGTCATTTTGTGACAGCTGATGTACTATGAAAGAGGGACGTGATACAGATGTAGTTAGGGATACAGAAAAGAGAATTCAGTTGATAATTTTCAGTTAGTGTCATTTAATTATCAGTGCGTGCTGTAAGAGACGTGGTCGATACTCTGGATATAGCTCTCTTAGAATAATATTATTTTATAGGTCGCGTACAACTAAAATACACAGATAAAAGATTCGAATAATTGCTCCTTGGTGGTTTTTAGGGTTTAGTATAGCAAGACAATTGTTTTAATTGTGCTAGAGATTTAGCATAATAACTTTTAATGTAGTATGTGCAGAGTAATGACCCAGTCTCATAAAGATTCAGTTACAATCTTGTAGCAAGATTCTTACAATTTTTGTTTATTTGTCAGCAGCTTCAATTGGACTTTTATGGTATGAGAAAGGTCAAATGACTGGAAAAATGATAACTTGTGGTTTCCATGATGGCTTATGTTGGTATCATTTCCATAAGTTTAAGAGTATTTGTTGTTTTGATAATTCTGATTAGGCATCAAAAACAACAGTATTATGCCGGATCAGTGATCACAAGTTACTGGAAGCTACAGTAAAACTGGAACTCCGCGCCTCTGAAACATTTCTAGTGGTCAGGTTTCTTTAGGATGCGCAAGTCCTGCGATCTGAAGACTACAGGTACCTAGAAACGTTACTGCGTGAGTATCCTAGCCATGGAAACCCATTATTCCCAGGCTGAATGCTTGTTTGGCCCTATCTCAGGGCGGATATAGTATCTTGTTCTAACTGCTGCGATTTGTTTGGGTCTTTTGACCTTAATTGGAATACGAATAATCATGCGATCCTTTGTTTTTATATAACCTTGGTCAGTTGCCTCTGTCATCTGATATTAAGTATCTCTGCTTGTTCTCGGCAAATACATTTAGTTTGTGTGCAATTCATATCTATAAAAGAGGAAGGGATTAACGACATACCTTTTCTTCTGCCATCGAAAATCACATCAATTCTTTCTTCCTCATTTGAGTACACTTTGATAGTTGTGGCTTTGATAATTGTTCTTGACTTTTAATAGTTGGGATGTCTTCTCAATCTAGTTGTCCACTATGTAAGAAAAACAATGTGCTTCATGACGCATTCAATTGTCCTAAGAGGAAGGGCTGTTCTAAGTGTAAAGCGCCAGAGACCTACACAGCTCTAAAATGCGACAAAAAATACCCCAGAACTGAGGAGCAAGTTTGTGACACGTGTACTCGACCACCGAGTGAGTGCGCTTGTGGCGAGACAAAAGGGAGGCCTTGTTCTCTTTGCGGACATACGGATCATAAAGTAGCCCAGTGTCAGACTGTAAAGCCTGGAGACAAATGGCCTTTCGCCGACGAGGTTAGGTAACAGCTTACAGCTGAGGCCAAGGAGAAATATCTCAAAAGACAACAGAATGCTGATATGCCTCCCGCCGTTCAACATTCTCTGCCACAAATCGCTGAAAATCAAGGATCTTCCGCTGGCGAACCTTCTTCGACTACCGAGTCAAGCCAGGATGTCAAGGCAAACTTATCCGCTGCTGAGCTGGCAGAACAGAGGAAGCAATCGTGGATCGCCGCCGAGAAAGAATTGCCTTACAAGGAAAACCTCGAAAAGCCTACGAATGACAAGGGAGATGTTCTCGGTAACTTCTATGCCTTCGAAGTAAAGAAAAATCTTAAAAAGCCCATCTTTCGATACACAATCGATGTCGGCGAATCAGTGAAGGCTGGCGTGGAAAGGACGTGGTCTCGAGAGACTAAGAGGTACTTGATTGGACAACTACTAGAGGAAAATACTCCTAGTCACAGCAACTGGGCTTGTGATTATGATTCCATCATCGTTTCTGCGGGCTCTCTTTACACAGGTTGGGACCACATTAAAGAACCAGAAATTCTGGTGCCATACAACCGTGGCCTCAAGGATATGGCAATCAACGTGACCAATTCTAAGATTAAGTTCCTTGGTTTTATTGATATCGATCGTTTGAATCGCCATATTAACCAAGAGGAACGCGATGATCAAATTATGGAGTCTTTGCATGCTCTGAACATCATCTTTTGCAAAAAGGTCAACGACAAAAGCTTTACAGGTGCTCGCTCAGGTAATAAGTTTTATCCGGATGATCCAGAGCTATCGCCTCGGTTCCTCTCGCCCTCTGGTTTCTACGTGCTCCGTGGCGGATTATCTGCATCCGTAAGACCAGCTTTTGGTTCCTTGTTTCTTAACATCAGTACCACGACATCTGCTTTTCTAAAAGACGGTGAACTATCTTCGAAGAACTTTCAGAAAAACATACGAGTTACTTGCAACCTCACGGGCAGTCGGCAATGGAATGCCCGAGAGCTGAGCGATGCTGGTACCAGAATGTCACAGATAACTTTCAGGATGAAGGTCGTGCAAGATGGGCAAGAAAAGTTGATTAAGAGGGATGTGAGGTATTACCTCGAACATGAAAGTAGTAAGCATAACCCATTCATAGTTGCCGTCAAATCAGAACGTCCCTAACTTTGTATAAGAGCATAAAAGCAAGTTTCGAGATGACGAACAATGTGTGAACGTCGGAGGTGCCAAGAAGGATAACCGTGCTATTTGGTACCCTATATCTACCTTGAAGATCGTTCCTTGGCAAAAGGTGAAGCGTGTTCTGCCCCAAGCTGATGGCGAAAAGATGGTCAAGGTGGCAGAGATCTTACCTGGGCAAAATAAGAGACGAATTGCAAAGGTTCTCGAAATCTTAGGGTTGGATTACCGCCAACCCTCAGGACATCTGAAAACGTATTTCGAGGTATTAATCACTCTCCTTCCCAGATTGATAATAGTTCGCTAATTTCCGCAACTAACAAAGGCTTTCGGCATTGATTTTGTCCCTAAGATGGCAAGACTCACACGAAAAAGCCTCTCTGCTCCAAAACTTGATTATGGTAAAATTAACACCGATAAAGTGCGAGGAGATGAAGACAAAATAGCCGAGCCTGTTAACGGAGCATGGGCAATCACGAACAAGCGTTTCTTCTCCCCTAGTAAAACTAAAACTTTGCATGTGATATGCTTTCACGACAAGTCTTCTAAAATCGTGGAAAATATCAAATCTGCTGAGAACGGTCTTGCTGAAGTTATGAAAGCAGCAGGTATGATGGAACACAACGAACATACGCTCGATGTCAAACTGGCCACGCCTGAAACCCCCATTTGGGTCGAAGAGAGCGAATCAGCAATACAGTACAGGGAAAGATGCCAAAACACACTTAAAGTGGCAATTGGTGCTCTAAATAACCCCCCCCTCAAATCATCTTAGTTGTGATGCAAGAAAAGCGCGTAGATTTCTACGCTGAAATCAAAAGATGGGGGGACTGTGTCATTGGAATCCCAACTGTTTGTTGTCTTGGCGAGAAGATTTGTGGCGACAAAGTTAGTTGTGGCATGTCTGCGAACTTGTGGTACGTTTCATAAGTTGGGATTTCGCAAGGAGAAATGAGCTTACCTAGAAAAATAGTCTGAAACTCAACGCCAAGTTAAAGGGGGTTAATCACCAACTCAGACGTAATGTTACTGCTGTGGACAAGTTCTATGGAGCAACCGAGGTACCAAAAAATACCATGCTTGTTGGGGCTGATGTGACTCACCCGAAGAATGGAGATGATGGATGTCCTTCAATCGCCGGAATTGTTGCTACAGACGATCCCAACTCTGGGAATTATCTTGCTTCAGCTATACTACAAAGGGGCACACAAGAAGTGAGTATAATTGTGTCTAATTTGAGTCCTTCTAATATTCAACAGGAAATTAGTGAGCTAGCTGCAATGATCAAGGAGCGAGTTATTGCTTGGCAAGATAAGGCGATGGTAGCGATGTATCCAAAGAAGACACCCGGAGGGCCCAAAACAACGCAGAAACCGGGGAATCTCACAACATTGCCGTCCCACATATTCTTCTATCGAGATGGGGTTAGTGAGTTACAATTAGGAATGGTTCGCAAAGAGGAGTTACCGCAGATCAAAGGAGGCTGCGGGATGGCTCTAAAAGAGTTGACATCCCAAAAAAAGATCTCGATAAAGGCTTGGGAGCCGAAAGTAATAATGTTTGTCGTTGTAAAGCGTCATCACGCTAGTTTCTTTAATACCTGGTTACCGAATCCAGATACAACCCAACCTCTTAGCGAGGCTGATCAGAAAGAGGAGAAAAAGAATCTACCTGCCGGAACTCTCATCGATACAAAGGTAGTGGCACCTTTTCGCAAAGAATTCTATCTTCAAAGCCATCAGAGTGACGAGGGAACGGCCCGGAGCGCATGCTACATTTTAATTGAAGACGAATCATGGTTGACCATGGAGCAACTCCAGGAGGCAGTAAGTGTCTTCTATCACTTAGCATCTTACAAAACTGATACTCACTATGCAGACACATCACTTCTGCTATACAGGAACGCGAGCGACGAAATGTCCCTCGACTTGTGTCGCAGCTCGCTACGCTGATCTTCTTTGTGATCGTCTAAGGCACTATCTAAGACCTGCATTGACGAATAGCTATCGACCAAGCATCACGAGCAACGACAAAAGTGGCGACTTAGATCCAGCCGATTTTGCAAATGATGAAAATATTTGGGCGATCGAAAAGAGCTCGGGCCAGGAACGAGACAAGTCAAAGAACCCGTGGCATGAAAGGATGGATGGCATTATGTTCTACATCTGAGGAACATATGTAATCGGGTTTTGATGATCGATATTTCAAGCGGGGCATGTGTTTGTTCGGATCTTATGACTTTCAGCTGTTTTCCTTTTCTGTTTTTAACTCCTCTCTCTAATGGGATTTCGTATTCTCCGATTTGTTATTTTCCTTCTGCCCTTTGATCTTTTACAGTCTGTTGTTCTTGGTACTTGTCCTCATTACTAAGGTTTCGCATGTTCGGCGTTTTTGAGTTTTCGTAGGGCTTTGGTCTGCTATTTAGGGGGTGGAAAATAACCTCAGCTGAGAAAGAATATGGCTGCAGGGATACTGGTTGCTCGTGCAATGTTTTCGTGTATGGTAGTCTTGTAATGAGTACTATTTTTGTAATTTCCGAACATCCCGTTTTATGAATCTGGAGAATGAACCTTATTAGTAAACAACTATTAGCGTAGAATATACTAGCCTAGCCTCTATAAGAAGATAGTATTAGATGCTAGGAATAAGTAATACGTATAATTAAGATACTTTCCCTTGTTTCTCTCTCCCTCTCTCCTTTCTAAAAAGTATACTGGGTATAAACTCTATAAGACAGCAAGCCTACGCGATAGTAAGGATACGACACTGAGTGTAGTTGATGTACACGTGAAAGTACCTAGGCATGTGGGGTATCAGAGATCAGAGTTGGTATATGGGTTTATAGGTACAGTAGTAATAGTAATCATAGCTTTTGCGATTTGCAATATAGTCACTTGATTTAATTGTTAATTCAGGATGCCGTAGTTCCCTATTGATAGTTATCGCGCCACGAAAATAAAGGACAAATTTCATTTACCATTCCTGGTGTAACACTACAGTAATACTACTTAGAGGGAACGGAATTTTCCGTCCCCGATTTTGGTGGTGGAAGAATCTGGCTTTTGCTGCACCTGAGGGCAGAAGAAATCTCCAAGGCTAAGGCAGGGGAAACAATTGTGTTCGAATAAATAACCTTGAAAGTTTTGGTACTGTATGTCAGCTGACTTGACTCTTTTGCCTCAATTATACTATAGTTTCTATCATAATTGGAGATATTTAAAAAGTAAAACGCATTGGTGTGTAATATGTTCAGAGCCTTAACCCTTCCCAAAATGCTTATGTGATTGTTTCACGGTATCCTTCTTGTGTTTGCGTAGCCAGCTGTTTGTCTGTTTTCCTGTGTAGGTTTTGTGATTATGACCATTATACGTTTTTCTGTAAGCCTGATCGCTTTTCTACCATTCCTTCCCATATTTTGGGATTATACTCCGTTGCTATTACTACGTGACATGGATCAAGAGCAATGAGCTCTTTTCGTTTATTTGTATGATTGTCAAAATTAGGTCCGAGAAGTGCGTTCTTTATATTTGTCCGCGTGTTTGCCATTTCAGACTTCTGGTTACAGACTCCTGCCATGACCTAAAGGCACGCTCCATTGCTAAGGGGGAGATATTTTTGTAATCGGTATAGATCCCTATATAAGAATGATATGCAACTGGCGGTATCTTTCCTCTGCCATCGATAATTTTGTTTCGCTCTGACCAGTCTAAAGATGAATCCTCAATTACCGAATACCGCGACCAATGTCCCCCAAGTAACGCCAGTTTATACTAACCATTTCCGAGCTGTGATCAACCCTCAGGTACAGATACTCAAATACACGATCCACCTTGGTGACCTTGGAGCTCCTCGACCACCAGGTCAACCGCCAAGGACGCTATCTAAAGAAACCAAAAGATATTTGATCAACCAACTGCTAACCAATATAGCCCATAATCCAACAGCCCATGACAATTGGGCATGCGACTACGACTCGATTGTAATCTCTGCTGGCGCACTCTATAATGATTGTCACCTTACGAATACTTCAGCGACAAAGCTCTATGAGAGAACACAACACCAAGGTGCTAACGGAGGTAACCCTACAATGATGATTGAAGAAGCTACAGTTACATGCGAGGGGCTTGTCGATATCGCTGGCCTCAACATGTATCTGACATCTCAACAATGGCACTGGATACCAAGTCATGTCACCGAAACCTTGAACGCCATGAATATCATATCGTGGAAGCAGGTTTATGACCCTACTTTTCGAGGAGGAATTGCCGGCAGACGATTCTACCCTCGAAACGGCAATTGTGAAGACGAGGCCCAGGCCATGCGGAACGGTGAAGTATTCCTCATACGGAGAGGCTACAGCACATCAATGCGTCCAGGAGCTGGAAGTGTCTACCTCAATGTTCACACCTGTGCTTCTGCTTTCTATTCTCCGATGCTGCTTAGTGACTGGATACAGCACAAGTGGGGAGGTCGACGATCCGGGTTGGTTGAATTCCAGAGACAGTTCAAAAATGTCAGGGTAAAGGTTGACAGTCTGGGTAACCTCAGCCGGACTTGGCGTATATTTGGAATTGCGCCTGGGGATATTTCGACCGTTACCTTCATTGACAGTAGTGGCACACAACAAAACGTGCAGCAATACCTACCAACCCGTAAGTGTAACAAGACATTTCATACCTATGTACATTACTTGCTCTTTAACTTAATCTATTTAGAGTATGGTGGAGTGATCAGAATGACAGACCACGGTATTAATGTCGGAAGTGGTACTCGCCAGATTTGGTTCGCTGCTGAGTAATTAAGAATTTGTGATTGGCAAATTTTGTCCAGAACTGTGGAAGATGGAGACAGACGTCGAATGATTCGTTTTGGGGAGAAAAGGACTCATGCAAACAAAACCTTGATCCTTGCTGCCACGCAAAACGAACTGCAATTTGGTGGTGGATTTTATAATGTATGTCTACAAAATAATACCCGCTGAAGAAAACGGCTGACCAGAACGCTTTGTACCCAGAACTTCGGACTAAGGATTTTCCCTAACTTCGTGACGCTCAACGCGACTCAGTTGGAACTCCCTGTGGTGATGTATTCCCACAATCAAGACCCCCCAATCAGAGTCACACGGGCATCTTGGAACTTAGCCGACCCCAAAAATAAAAACGCGCCTCCTATACCACTACTTAGAGGAGCTGGTAGCCAGGCTTACATAGGTATCTTCATACTAAATGGTCAGAACATCAACCGGCAGCTGGGACCTACTCTTGTAACCGCTTTAAGGCAATACGGGGTTATTGCTCCTGGCAATGCACATATTCTCAGGTATCAAGACGTCATCTTACCCACCAATGCAGGAACCAACACATTTCGCACTGGTTGCCAAAATTCGTTGCGTGCAGCATACAACACCATCCGGACTTATAACATAGGGGTTATTTTGGTGGTACTGCCACAGCCTCTTCCTTTTGGAATTTCCAGGCAAGATTACTATGCTGAAGTAAAAAGATGGGGTGATTGTGAAGTTGGTGTACCGACCATCTGCCTTCAAGGAAACAATTGGGACCTTACAAGTCGGCCCGAATTCCGGGCTAATCTCAGGTTAGTACCCGGCAATCTCACGAGTCATCGGACTCGAGAAGCACAAAATATTGACACGCTATTAGCCTCAAGTTTAACTTCAAACTGGGTGGTGAGAATCATGGAATTAAGGGCTCTCAAGGACAGGTTGGGGGAGGCGATGGACTTGCTGGAAGCCCGGATCATACTATGATTTTTGGGGCCGACGTCACACATCCAGGCACGCAATCCGAGGCAACATGCCCTTCGTTGGCGGCTGTTGTAGCTACCGATGGCCACGGATCCTCTAATTATCTAGCATCAGGAAGGGTACAGGAAACAAGACAAGAGGTATGTACTTTCTCTTGCTTGCAAGTTATAATCTCTGATGATGGGCACGACTAACATCATGAAGCGCATTGAGGATCTGAGGTCCATGGTCCAAGAAAGAATCTTGGCTTGGGTGGATAGAGCGAATGACGACCCCAGAATACAAGATGCCTATGTTCTGCCAAAGATGCTTCTTTTCTACCGTGATGGTGTCAGTGAGTCGCAGTATGATATGGTCCGAGATCAAGAGGTTCCGGAAATTCGCGCCGGTTGCACTTCTGCTCTAGCGCATTTGAAGGCCGCAAACCAAGCTCTTTATGTCAAATTGATGGGCAACCAAACTCCTGCCGACTTTCGTTACGCACTTGTGGTGGTAGTAGCTGCGAAGCGCCACAACACTCGCTTCTACCCAGTGACTACAACAGCCGGTAACAATGTCAATCTCACAGCGGGCAAGGCATTCGAACAGTCAATTCTACCACCTACCTATGAGAGCTTCTTTCTACAGAGCCATCGTAGTCGCCTTGGCACAGCTCGGAGTAGCTACTACGTCGTCATCACAAATGTCGATCGCCAAAATAGCCCAGTGGGACTGCCTATTCCACGACTCCAAGAAATTGTAAGTAGATGTTGATGCCTATAATCTCTGCATGGTCTAACCTCTACCAAAGACAAACAAACTCTGTTATACGAGTTCACGAACTACGAATGGTATTTCCATCGCCACGCCAGCGCGCTATGCAGACTATGTTTGTGATAGGCTCTGCCTTTACACGAGACCCGCTATGGTTCGCAAATTCCGATTTGCATTTCCGCTTCCTGCTGCTGCAGTAGCCAATCAACCAACTCCGATGGAATATGCAAATGATACTCGGCTTTGGCGCAATAACCAAGCGACAGGACCGAACGATAATCCGTGGCGATCAAACTTGAAAAATGTCATGTTCTACATCTGAATCATGAAATCTCTTCCTTCTAGTAGATTTCGTCAATTCTCATAATAGATGACAAGAAGAGCGGGTGTCTTCCATGGCAGGTACAAGGTGGTGACCGTGGTTTTGTTTGGCCTTTATCCGTATTTGGGTTTTTCGTTTTCCGTCACATTCCCCCTTTCACCGCAACGCTTTCTTGCCCTGTTCATGTTTTGTCCTTTTTATTCTGATTTTGAGTACTGAAACTAGGGCATTGGGTTCTGCTTTATTCTGGTTTTGCATGTTTGGCGTTTGATTTTTTTCCTGGGTTTTGATTGGTCCGCTAAGCGAGGGAATTTATTCGGAAAGGGGGGCGTTAATTTGGCGATGATACCATTCAATTCATGTACACTAGTCTTTTTTATGGACAATATTTGTTGAAGTCCATCCCACTCTAAGTTGGCAGAATGATGTTGTCTATGAATAGTTTGTTACTTACGTGTTGGAATAAGGCATGCTAGTAGATCTAATCGTAAACCGCTTCCTGGCAGACACAGACGTATGCTTTACTGAATTGTAATGATTGAAGTTATTCATAGGTTTTGAGGTGGAGGTTCTGTTCCTAAGCACGGAAAATTCCAGACTTTGTTGTTATGCCTATATTCAACCCTAGGAGCCCTGAATTGTAGTGACTCACGTGACTCGCAGACTCACCTAACCTGAGTACCCTAGGTAATCAAGTACTCAAATTCACACCCTCCCTCAGTCACTCCGAGAACAATACCATTTTTTGTCACGTACCCAATCTCAAGCATACATCCCTCTGCTATACAGGGCTAATAGAATACGACCTAACCATATAAGATTTCTCCCTCTATAGTTCTCTCGGAATATTTATATCTCGGTTTTGATGAGGTCTTGCAGGCAAGCTTACCAATGACACTATGTAATATTTCCTAGTAATAATATAATATTCATAATTTTTAATAGGGTATTGCGGTTTTTGTAGTAGATTTAGTTAACTATAAAACTAAGAATAACTAGTACATCCAGCGAAAGTGAGATAATTCTGGGGCGAGTCTAGAGATGCTTTCCTTGATATTAGTCGGAATTAATCCATAAGTTACAACATAAGTCGAATTAGTTAAGATACTCAAAGTAGTTGAGAAAGCTGCGCTCAAGACTAAACTCAGACACCAGGGTCCTCACCATATCTATATTTTAGGTAGCTAGAGTTAATAAGTTTATTAGAAGGTACCGTGAAAACACTCTTAGGTCAAATAACATAAAGTTTTTCTGATGATTGCCCTGGTCTCCTGTTATTAATATGTGCTATACAGTTTTTCTCTTCGGCTGATCTTTCAACTGAAAGGAATTCACTTATATTGTATTGTGATTGTAGACAGCAGCAGCGCAGGGTTGGCTATAGGGGGTTAGGGACCTTGGAAATCTAACTTTACTCTATAGAAGCGAGAACTATTGTCCCTCGAAACATACGAAGCTAGATTTAATGGTCCCGAGATCCCGTTAGGGTCTAAAGATTTTCCGATTTGTCTCGTTACTTTACTAACATTTTTAACATTCTCGTTTACCTAGGTACCGATAGCTAGAGCAGCTCACCTATATGGTTCACTAATTGTGATGTTACTACTCTACTCCGCACAGTGGAGAGTGTGCAAATTAGACCATAGAGAAAAACACCTATTTAGATCCAATTGTGTCGAAAGTAACATGAAAGACTATATAGTGTAACAGACCCCGTAATTCTCCAAAAATCTTCAAGCCCTAAGCTTAAGATCATACTGGTAGTGCTGGACGCGAAAACTCCTCAAAGGTTCCTCCATCTGTCTTTCAGCGGGCCATGAAGGGGAACTTGCCTTTATCCACTCTCTTTTGCTCCTTGGACTGATAGTTATAGTAGAAACCGATGGGCGTTGCCTTGATTTCATTCAGTTTTTCCTGATTCTGGGCTTCCTCGGCTTCCTTGATTGCCTTCTCTTTCAGTGCTTTTGCTTTTATGAATTTGTTGGCAGTGCCCTTTGTTTTTCTATGCTCAAGCATCGTGAGCTTATAGAAGTTCCCTCTATCTTTTTCATTTCCATTCTGAAGCATAGATAGAGTCTTTCCTTCCTTTTCCAGGAGGGGAGATGCCAACTGTTGTTCACGTCGAATCTCCTCGGCATATTCCCGGTTCTCCTCTTCCTCAGCACGTTTCATCTTTTCTATATATGCTTTTATTGGGTTGAAAGGGTATTGGGTACTGAAGGTCATGGAGAATTGATTGCATTGTAAAAGGTAGCTATCTAAGGTGTTTATATAAAGAGTGTAAGGTTTAGGCAGACATGAAGCATTTAGGCAGCAGAACTATAAGTGGATCAAATAAGGCAGTGGAGCAAAAGAGAAAGTAGACCCAGCACAACAGCTTTTTTCTCGTCTTCATCGTCCATGTATCTGAAATTGTGAATGGCTGTTGTCATGGAAGACTTTGATGTGTCAATGAAGCTTACTCGCTGTCCATAAAGAATGGGAGTGACCGCATGCCCAGTCTTGGTTGCTCTTATTATGGAGTAATCCCCCGGAAAGACGGGGACTCTGATATCCAGGCCACAATCTGTCAAGACGTAATGGCCTCCACCAAAAGTTCCAAACGTAGTCGTGCCGACCATCGTGTTTTTGACATCTCCGTTATCTCTGTGCCATCCACATGCACGGTTACATTGGACCACCTGTAGAATATGGCACTGCATCGGATGATACACTGCTAGAAGCTTTCTCTCTGCAAGACCTTGTACGAAGACCTGGTCTTCTTGAAATTTTGTTGGGTCAATGACGTTGTACAGAAACCCAATGATGGCTTGGTGATAAATTGTCGTCCTTCGCCATCTGCGGACAGCCTCCATTCTCGGCTTATTTACAGCTTCTCCGTCACCCGTTCTTCCGGCTGTAGTTTTCGTCACTTGGAGATTCCAAGGTTCGCCCCTAGGCGAATTAGGCACAAACGCCTGTCCCTTTTCAGTCCACTACAATAAAGTCAGTTTAGGTACTTCTTGGGAGATTGATAGCGGAGAGCATTGGGTGCTAATGACACGACTATTTATCTATGACTGGGAAAAGTAAGCAGAAGATGCAGAAGAGAAGTACTTACGAGGCCTGTATGACGACTGCAATGACCAAATGTGGTACCCTTGTAGCGTTCTCGTTCCTTCGCGACATAACTGCCCGCTGGAAAGCGCTTGTCTTTGACACTTTGCCTGCTCTCTTCTTCTGGGCCAGGCCAAAGGCGTTCAAGCTTGATATACTCCTTCAGAAACGCCTGAGATCGCTTGTCGTTCTCTTTTGCATCAGCAAATGTGATTCCATAGTTTAACCAATTTCCAGCGTTCTGCGCGAGAAGATGAAAGGTTTTGCCATCTCTATCAAGGAGGTGACAACTGTGCTCGTGGGTAATTTCTGAGCATACTAGAGGGGTTTCAGGCAAACTCGCTTTTTTGTCTTCCAGTCTAAAATTCAAGTATTTCTCTTTCGGAATACTGTTTAACATATAACGGATCATTTCTGAGGCCCCTTTGATGTGGATGGGAGCATATATGGAGCCACGCTCAACTTCAAGACAAGCTTGATCGCCTAGTCAGCAGAGTTAGCTTTCATACGCATCCTGGTTGGGGAGAGAACATACCATTCTCCTGAACGAGCTTTCTGAATTCCTGGTACCGCATTTGGGAAGACGGTTCATTTTGGAAGTTCCGGTCCGCGATCCCTTTTTCCAACGCCTTTATTCTCTTGGCTTCGTCTTGGATGTTGTAACCCTCACAGTCGGTCGGGTGCAGCTTCTTCAATCTTAACTTTGTATCGTACAAAACCTTCTTGACCTCGTTTTCTTTTTGACCCCGAACATTGTTCTTGATTTGCTCAGACAGGAATTCGAAGAAGGTATTATGTGAGGGAAACGCAGAAGTGTTGAATTTCCACGTATCGTAATTCCAGTCTCCGTTCTCACGTCTATGAACGAACTGGCTAAAGGAGGTATTGTGAGTTCTATTGAGATAAACTCCGCTGATACCTGGTCTTGTGTGGAAGCTGGTGTACCATGGATTCCCAGGATATGCGTTCTCCTTTTGCTCCCCACCTAGAAAGGATTAGTGAGATATTTTGATGACAATACTGTAGGAATAATTACGGAACTTCTTGAGGAACCTGTTCTTACCTCTTGGGGTTGCTCTGTCTTGAGGCCCAACTCCATGGGTAAAGATAAAGTAGAACATGGATGTAATGGGCTGCTGGCCAGAGTGGTGAAATTGTTCGACGGTTGGGTGCTCAATTATTTCTGAGTCTTGTTGGAAGTATGAAATTTGATGTGGAAGTGTTTTAGTGTAGGTGCAGTATGTTGTTCATGACTTATAAAGGAATTGTTGTTGGGCATTTATACTGTAACAAACCAGTGCGGGGGAGCAATGCACTTCCCATGGGGTTCACACCCTAGCAAATAAACAGACATTAAACCAAGAAACGTGCTCTTCAAGAAGTTTTCTATCAGGTAAAGCTGCACTCCAAATTCTGGTGAATCCTTAGGCTATGATCCTTTAGGGGGGATGTCAGAACATAAACCAGGTTTTTAGAAAAGAACCTGTGCGGGGTATCCGGCTGGACTTTCCATGAGCTTGATGGCTACTCACAGGTCCAGGGCATTGTAGCTTCATGCCTTGGCAAATGATCCAAATTTGAACCGTGAATCCAATCAGAAGTGGCGTCCCTATCTGTAAACAGTTTTCTAGGCTCTAGTGGATCTCTGGACACTAAGCATCTTAAAGAAAACATCCTAGGCAATGACCCTTTGGAAACATACACAGATCAACGGATAAGTGACAGGACCTCTACCTATAGAGAAAGGTCTAAAACATGATTTTCTTAGAACAGTGATGAACAGATATTACTAGAGAAAAGTGGTTTACTTATAGCCATTTTCTTGTAGGAAAAACACTAGCTATATAGTAAGAAACATCTTTCAATGAGCATATGATAACTTAGGTTGCAACTCGTTTGTAACTTTCAAGCATACAATATATGAAGTCTTGAAAACATGTGTCCTTTGATCAAGTGTTTGTTGAAAATCTATTGTTATTCACTAATGATGAAGTCTGGCATTAGATGGATGCCACATGAATAACACGTGAATGCCACCATACCCGTATTTACCAGAGCTTGATTAGACTTCACTGAAATATCCTTCTAGGTGGTTCTCCTTGGGTCTAGGAGGCAACACGTGATCTTTGGTTTGCATGCTCCAGAGCTTACAGGGGTTCATTCTCTCATAGGTTTTCACCTACAAATAACACAGTTCCTAAAGCTCTCTGTTTCCCATGGTCAACCTTGAGCATACTTTGGAGTGATACTTTGAAGTGGTACTTTAAATCTCCTAATAAGTAATTCCTTGACACCAGAGGACAAATAGCTACCGTCTTTTAATTTACCTCTGTTGCAGGATATTTGATATTCACTCACTCGCTACTAGCGCAGCACTACTACTAGCGTCAACCCTGGGTATTTATTGCCCACCTGTACTTTACTTTTACAATTGAAGAACTTCTCCCCTTTCAACAACCTCTACTCCACTTGACATTCTCTTCCACAACACTATTCCGATCTGTACCGCTAGAGATCTGAAGATGGACCTACTACAGCATGAGGTTTTGCTTCCCTACAGTACCAGAGCAACAAGCAATAACAATTCACCGCTAAAAGAGTTTTACAACTTCCCCAACCTCACTAAGGAAATCAGACGAGAGATATGGCAGATGGCACTTTTGGTCCTTCGGGTTCTTGAATTTGTTCATGATCGTACAAAAGGTTGGTTCATTTCAATACCCATGGAGAGGTGTGAAGACAAACTGACTTCTGGAAAAGATAATGGCGCAATAGTGTCTGTTCATGGTAGTTTGAGTCGTCTTGCCGTCAATTCTGAAGCTCGACAGGAAGCCAAAGCTGTCTTGACTTACTTTGAAAATGGAGAAAACGATAATGATCAGCAATATCACACAACCGCCGTCAATTGTGCAGTCGACACTCTCGTCTTGACGTTTTACTATCCCAGCCGTAGTTTTCCTGATCGACGCGTACACTTCCTCTCTACTATTACCCAAAATCCAGAGAACCCTCAATTCCCACTTCCACAAGGACGCAAATTTAGAAATGTAGCAGTGTGTGCTAGTCGCTGGGTGTACACCTTGAAATGTTACCTCCTTAAGGATAACTCGTGGAAGGTTCAAGTGGCTTTTACACTCATGGGGATCCAAGAAGGTCAGTACCACTTCCGGTTTTTATCCTCTGCCCGAGTTAAGCACTAACGACGGGGTAATAGTCAATATCATTGTGGCTCGCAGAGACAGCAACACAAATACAAGAGACATGACCTTAGAAGCTCCGCAACAGCGTCCTGACGAAGTATTGGGAGTTGATTGGATACAAAATGTTCTCCTTGGGTCGGCGAAGTTGAACAGTTGGAAGTCCCTCGAGACATTCATGGCCATGCACTTTAAGAAACTCCACAAGACTCGACGTGCAGAACGTAAGCTGCTCCTGGATAGTGGTAGCGTTACCGCCCATGCCATTTACACAAATCCGAGATACGTTCGTTTACGTCATTGTGAAGATAATTGGGTTTGTCCTGTCTTCAAATTTTACGATCTAGTTGGAGGTTAGGTCGGGTTATATCAACCGATATCTAGATTGGTTCTAGGTGCTCGGGTACTTGTATCAATAGATATGGCATCTACGGCATTCTGAGCGTACACTTAGGTCGGAATGCATCCCATATTTACGGTCAGACTGATAAAGGAGATAATCTCAAATCACAAAAGTCATTTATTTACTACTACTAAAACTGTGTTTGTGGCCCCACAACCCCACCTCATTTCAAATTAGATACGTAAAATCGCCAACCTCATTACCTATATCCTTAGTAACGAATAAGAATTATGCTCCATTATATGTCTTCAGAGAGAGAGATATCAAACAGCAGGAAACCTTTTAGTTATAAGATACCTGGTCATTACTCTATCTCCTACATCGCCCGGCAGAAATCGAAAGTGGGTTAAGGACGTACTAACCTAGGTAAAAAACGATATATAGATTTATACCAAGACTTATAACGTCTTCTAATATAAAGAGCAGCTTAAAATAAATAAATTCTTCACCTAAGCCCAATTAAGATTTAGGTATATGATTGTTCATAATATAAAGAGAGTAATTGGACCTTATTAATCAAAAAGAAATCTTATCAGAATTGTAGAGCCACGCTCTAGTCCTGTGACTATATATCTTCTTCCCTAGTATTCCTAAAACTCAGTACAATTAATAGCTTGGTATTGCCAAGATGTTAGATTAACCTGAAATTATACCTTGAAATAATTCTACGCGAGGGTGCTTATTCCGGGTTGAGAGTTACGCCAGGCCGTGCAGGAGATTCTTAGGAAGACTGGACGTGGATTGACCAGATTGTGTTAGACGCGTAATGATCGGTTTCAACGAGCCATGAGCCCTTACGACTACTATGTAAGTCTATGGGTCGTCGCCTTCACGTGATTGGTTTATTTGTTAACCCCAGCTGTGTTATTTTGAATTATAAACGACTTCGAGTGCGGGCCAAGCTCGTTTTCTTCTTTCTCAGACGATTGCCTGTGGGTTTTACCATGATTGATAAAAGCTGACAAGAGGCACGAGAGCGATTCTGTTATCAGATGATAAGAACATTGGAATTTGTTTGGCGGAGAGGGCTTTTTGCGTGTTTTTAGTTGTTTCCACATCCAAATTTGTAGTCAGAAGGTCCTATGTGGTGCTCATCCTGTGATGGAACCTTGAAATAAGTTTTGTGTGGTTGAAGTATATATAACGGGGGTGTACATTGGGCGGCTTTAAGTCAACCATTCCCAGAGCACTTTGATTGTTTCGGTACTTCATCTGAGAGCCTCCACTACGTCCAATATTCTATTGTCCTTTTTCAATTGGAAAATGTCATCTAGTACAGGAGGGGGAGACAAGGGAGGAGGACACCAGCGTCCGCATGGGCCAGACCTTTCAAATGTGCCAATTGGCGTTCCAACTATCCCCGGTGTCAAACCAAGAAGCTCTGCAATTACTGCTGGGGGACCAGCACCCCAGCATCCGACGACTTCGGTAGCTTCATTAGTCCCATCTACTTCTTCTGTTCAAAGAGCCTCTTCATCCCCCGATAACGAAGAGTCATACGAAGATGCGTGGGCTCGAGCCGAACGAGAACCACCTGTTCGAGTCGGGGACAATACTACTATCGGCACTGAAGGGGAACAAGTTCTCGGGAACTTTTTCCGTTTAAAAATACGCGAGGACCCAAAGAAACCTCTTTGCCGTTACTCTATTGATCTCGGACCGGATGTCACACGTTCTTCGGATCCTAAGTCGACCAAGCCGAGAAAGCTATCCCGTGAGACCAAGCGATTTCTAGTTAACTCACTTTTAGAAGCCAACGAACATAAGTTTAGAACCTCTTTCTAGATTTGTGATTATGATTCCATCATAATTTCGGCTGGGCGCCTTTTTTCCGTTGGCTCAGCACCTCAGCCGGCTCCTTATCAACGCAAATCTGGTAAAGATACATGGCACACAGAGAGTGGCTCAATCAAATTCGATGGAGTTGTTGAAATAGGCGAATTAAACAGACATATCTACAAAAAAGATGGTGGAGTTCCGACTTCGGCAACTGCCATTGCATTGAATGCTCTGAACATCATATTCGGTAACTGCGTAAACAAGCCCGACTTCGATGGTGCTCGTGCTGGAAAGAGATTCTATCCTCCGATCCCTGGAAATCCAACCCAAACGAAATCCGGCTGCTACCTCATACATCGAGGATTCTTCAGCTCAGTTCGCCCAGGTACTGGTTCGCTCTACCTCAATGTCAGCACAACAACTTCTGCCTTTTTCAAGGAAATGAATTTATTGGAATGGATGAAAATGAAGTGGGGTAATCGATACAATGAAGCAAAGTTCAGAAGGGAGCTAAATAACGTCCGAGTAAAATGTGACTTCACAGAAGAAAAGAGATGGACCATGCACGGCGAATTGAACACCAAGAAAATGTCCGCGATAACGTTAGGGCAGACGAATGTCAGCGACCATATGAAGAGTGGCAAGTTTTAAGCCTAGTTATCTGGCAAGTTTGGATTGTTACTGACGTTTCATAGAGCATAAAAAGACTTACAAAGATTTTAAATTTGGTGATGAGGATTTCGTCCCATGTGTGAACGTTGGCGGGGACCTGAGAAAGAACCAGGAAATTTGGTATCCAGCCGTTGTGCTCACAATCCTTCCTTCGCAAGTTGTAAGCCACACTTTAGAAGGAGATGATACTCAAGATATGGTCAATAATGCTCAGATTGTTCCGCCCGAGAATAAGGAAATGATATTGGGCCAAGGTCTTGAGCTACTGGGTTTCAAAAAACTCAGTGTTGTGAAATGTTTCTCGGTAAGATAGCCCTCTTGGCTTTCTATAAACAAATGAATAGAGAGCTGACTCCAGGTCATTGTAGAACTTTGGGATTGAACTCACTATTAAGCTAGATCAAATCACTCCTATTGAGCTCCAGCCCCCAGTTATGATCTCAAAAAAGAACACTTTGGCTGTTGTTAAAGGTGGTTGGCGGTTCAACCAATCACAATCAAAAGGGTTTCATAATAGTAATCGAAACTTTAACGAGCTACCTATTATCTGGTTTAATAGGTCAAACGGTGACATGTCGCCTGGCGAAGTCACTGTTAGACTTCGCAAAGTTTTAAATGATTACAATGTTTCGCAGGCGGTATCACCTGCTATCAAGCCCATCCATGCGTCAAAAAACATACCCAGCCATGGAGATGATCCAATTCAATATAGGAAGGACTGTCAAAAAATCCTGGATGAATGCTTGGACTCCCTTGAAAAGAATTCTGAGCAGGGTATCAACTTCTTGTACATCATCTTGAGAGATAACGATGCCAATTTCTATGCTGAAATCAAAAGGTGGGGCGATTGTGTTAAAGGAATCCCAACCATTTGTACTAGATACAGTACCCTTTTTCCTACCCAGGAAAAAGGAAAGAAACAGAAGCCAGATTTCAATGATATAGCACTTTGTGCAAATATCAGGTACTGTTTCTAGACCCTATTAGAGCGCTGTAAAACTAACGTGGAGCTCGTAGTCTGAAGATCAATGCTAAGTTGGGAGGCATCAGTCACAAATTAGAATCAACAAGTAGCCAGCTCAGCATGACAGGCACTCCCAAAGATATAATGATTATCGGGGCAGACTGCACTCATCCAGGAGCTGGGGTGAAGCATTGTCCTTCAATCGCAGCTATTGTTGTTACAAATGACGACGAGTCAAGCCAGTATCTCGGTTCTGCGAGGCTGCAGAAGAGAAGACAAGAGGTATTTCTATTTCCATGTTTACTCGAACCGACTAACCCGTAATAGGAGATAGCTGATTTACATGGCATGATGGTCGAGAGAATTAAGGCTTGGTCCCATAAGGCATCTAAAGCTGGGAAAAGTGATGGCAACTGACTTCCGAAGCATATATTCTTCTATCGCGATGGGGTTAGCGAGTCGCAGCTTGCTATGGTTCTGGATAAAGAGCTACCTCAAATAAGGAGCGCTTGCAATTACTTTTCATCCAATGGCACAAGTCCGAAATGGTCCCCCACGATCACCTTATTTGTAGCTATAAAGCGCCACCACGCTCGTTTCTTCCCAAAAACAAACCCCGAAAAGCCGCCCAGCCAAGGAAGGCGGGAAGAGTGGGAAGCTTGGAAGGAAAACTTGAAGAGTGGAACACTGATCGACACGAACGTCGTGGCCCCTTCCAGAAGTGAGTTCTATCTCCAGAGTCACCACAACCTGTTGGGAACCGCTCGTAGCTCGTACTATATCCTTCTCAAAAATGAATCGGGCTTGTCTTTCAAACAATTAGAAGAAGCGGTACGTTCTAACTTGATTGAACTTGACGTGATGCCAACCTAAGCAGATCCAACTAGACAAATCGCTTATGTTACACTGGTGCTCGAGCCTCCAAATGTCCTTCTATCTGCATACCAGCTCTCTACGCAGATTTGCTTTGCGATCGATTGAGAACCTACATGCGTCCCTCCCTAAATTATGGCTACGTTCCCAATTCGGGTACGGGTGTTTCCGATTTTGTAGCAGATCGAGATATTTGGGATGTAGGAACAAATGAGCAGAATCCGTGGCATAAAAATATGAACAACATCATGTTCTATATTTGAGATGGATCCCGTCTAAGTCTTGAATGTGGGTTGATCATTGTGTTCCTTAGTATCTGGTTTCTTTAACTCTCTACGGCTGGATAATGTTATTGTTTTACATTCCTTCTTTCTACGCTCTTTTCGTTCTTATTTTGATTGCTTGCTTTTCAATTATTGTGATTCATTCGCATGATGGTCTTTTTGGTGTTGGACCTTTTTTCGGGGGTTGATAGGTTTGCTAGGTACTGTAAGCGAGGAAATTGTAAACGGGGATTACAGCTCGTTGGTGTAATGTTTTTGTGTAAGCTAGATTTACCCTGGTAACTACTTTCAAATTTGGATAAATGGCTCAAATTCGCTTGTAGTGGTACTTTTTATCTACTAGTAGAGCTAGGAAGGTCTCCAGAGCCTGAGAGGAAGAGTATTACACTATCTAGTTGATATCTATCGCTCTAACTCTAATAAGAACAGTAAGATTATACTTAAACACGTCTCTTTGCTATAGTATCAATTTATCTTAATAGTCTCACTAGTTATAGGTATAAGTTAGGCAAATATTATAATAATAGTATTATAGGTAGTAAATAGTCTTAGGTTATATTTAGCTCGCCTAATTTAGAGATTTATACCAGGTATAAAAATCTTAGATTTATACGGGCTAGAGGACCCCAAGGACTTATATAAAAGTTTCCTAATTTATATATAAATTAAACTATTATAACGAAAAAAATATACTACTATTTAGCTAGTATAAAAGAGTTTTTTATTTTATTATATATTTAACGAGTTTTATACGTAGAATAGAAAGGATTTATATAGAGATTTATATAAATCTTAACTCTAAAGGGTTAAGGGGTTAATTCTTTTATAAAGATTTTTAGGTAAGTTAGTATAAATCTAAAAGATTTATAATTAGATTTATAACAAATTTATAATTAGTATAAAAGAAACTTTATAGCTATCTAAATAAGCGTATATATTCTAAATTATATATAAATTAGATTAATATATAACTTATATTTAAACTATTAATTCTTTTTCTAGCTCTTTCTACTATAGTATATTACATAACTTTTATATAATCAAGGTACTTAGTTTACCTATTAATCCCGGATACTATATAGTAGAGTAGTTAACGGCGACTCGCGTAAGACTATTCGCTAGAGTTCGTATATTTATTACTATTGGTGACGGTTAGAACCGTCACAGTCACATTTCTAACCGTCACCCTATTTGATTTACTTAGAAGGGAGATAATAATTATAAGGTAGTAAAGAAGACTATTCTATTCTCATGTTCTAGAATTTATATTATTAACTCCTAGACTTAGCCACGTACTTATTGTTAATGGTTTTCTTCTTACAGTAGCAAATATAGCGTTTCGCTGTTTTCTAATCCATCTGAAAATGAAATAGCCTTGAAGTCCGCTTGGCAAACCAAAACACCAGAGCCCACGGACGCAAGGGATAACAGCACAGTGTATGCGATAGAACAGCAATGCCAAAATACCTTGTATGGAGGAATCTAGTCCCGAACTCTCCAAATAGCATCACAAATCGTGGCAACCTCCTTCATCTGCCGAATGTCATGCACCCTCACGATATCCGCGCCCCCCTTTACACTCGCCGCCACTGCCCCAGCTGTTCCATAAATCCTTTCTGTCGTTCTCTTTATATGCCCATCTTGTGCAAGTAACCTGCCAATAAACTTTTTTCTACTAGCTCCCACCAACCACGGTAGCCCCACCAAGCCAGGCCACTCCCTCAACTCATCTAACCGTCTCAAGATTTCCAATGCATGTGTAGAATCCTTCGCGAATCCTATGCCGGGATCGAGAATAATGCGCCAGCGGTAGATACCCGCTTCCTCGGCTGCCTTGAGTCGCTGCAGGAGTTCTTTGGCGATGGTGGGGATCAGTCCATCCGGGTAGGCGGTCATGCGATCGTTCTGCATGGTGGTGGGGGTGCCGCGCATATGCATGAGACAAACCGTTTTTTGTTTATCTAGCGATGCGAGAGTGGGGAGCATGTAACGATCGAGTTCGCCAGCGGAAATATCGTTTATTAAGTTTGCACCGGCTTTGATGGCTGCTTTTGCCACGGAGGATCGGTAAGTGTCGACGCTGATGAGGCCTTCGAAGCGTACTACGTCCCGCAGCATTTCTACGATGGGAATTACGCGGGAGGCTTCTTCAGCGTCGCTTACTTGAAATGCGTTTGGGGCTGTTGATTGGCCGCCGATGTCGATTATGGTTGCTCCTCGATTTGTTAAGAGATTCATTGTTTTTCCCAGTGCGGCTCGGTCTAGAGAGAGGTGGTCGTTTTTTCCGCCGTCGGAAAAGGAGTCTGGAGTCATGTTTAGGATAGCCATGATTCTAGTACTACGAGTTGGTTGAAGGGGTCGAAGGAATTCCTTGCCATCGTTGTCGAGGGGGGTTACAGTAGTGATCGTGGAGGGAGGAAGAGCATTGAGATGATCCTGAACAGTTTTCCAAGGAGATGCAGGAGTCAGGGGCTGCGCAGGAATCAATCTATGCCAATTAGCAGCAACAGAGCTAGATATGAAGGTGGCTTACTCTGATAATGGTCGAAGAACGAATTCGCGTTCAGCGATTAATGGATGCGGTATTGTCAACCTATCCTCATTTATGACCTGGTTGTCATACATCAAAATATCGAGATCAATATTCCGAGGTCCTTTATCAACAGTTTTCATCCTTCCCAGATCGTTCTCAATTTCTTGAAGAGTATCTAGAAGTGCAATAGGCTCCAATGTTGTTGATATCTGTATATAAATGTCAATATCAGAATGCTCGTCAAGTTGGTGGGGGAAAACATACCTCACAAACACCATTGAGAAATTTATCCTGCTCTAAAACATACATGGGGTCCGTCTCCCAAAGACTACTCGTTCTCAGAAGCCTGATTACCTTTTTCTTCTTCATTTCGCTCAATGCTCTTTCTATCCAATCAACCCGATTAGTAAGATTGCTCCCCAACGCAATATAAGCTGTTCTCCAATTTTTTCCTGTAGAAACTACTTCAGGAAGATTGTCAAGTAGATTTGTGCGGATCATTGGGTGGGGGGCCCATGAATGCCCTCTATCCTCTTTTTGCACATCCTCATCATCTTTGAACGACGAACTTTGACATCGAAAAGGTGCTTTGGTGGTCCTCAAGAACGCGGCTGAAGTTGGTCGTCTTCGTACAGCCGCATGATTGCAAGCCAAGGTATTCACCCTAGCAAGAGATCTTGTCACAGAGGTCTTCATGGACGTTCTCCCAAAGCTTTTGGATGTCGCTTGCCTCAACTCTGGAGCGCTCGATGGGTTGAAATTCCTGAGTCAGCAAGGTCATCGGGCATCGCAATCGCAAGGTTGTGCCAAGACTCGGACCAAAATCGGACCATTACTCGGACCAAGCGGAAGGTCTTGGAGTGGAGCTGTAGCTGTCCCCTGAAAGCATGTGTTGATGTTCTACAACATAACTTGGAAAGATTTCTAAGTTGACACCGCGAGCTAAAGTCAAAAGACAATTCGACATCTTGACCAGAATATATTCTCTCCTAGTCCACCGCTCCCTTTCTGCTCTTGGCCTCCATTTCAAGGCCGTTAAGGCTCAAGCCTGGAGAGCCGTAGGTGCAGCTGCACCCGGAAATGTCACATCAGCTGACTCGTGGTGAAGCCGAGGCAACTTCCCCAGATTCGCGCTCGGCAACGAAGGTTCAGCACCGCCCGCTGTCCTCTTGAATAAATTGCCTTTGCCTCCTCTCACCTCTCTTTCAATCAACTCCCTTCTTGAAACACTCTGCCATTCTGATCCATCGTGCCAATATCTCTCTATTCTACTCTGTACAATCCCTTTGCAACTCTCTCAAACAACAGTATCTACAGTCAAAATGGCCTCGCCTCGTAAGTTTCACATGCCTCTCTGTAACTACACCGGAAATGTAAATAACTGATAGGGTGTAATAGAGCAACTCCGCACCACGGTAACCGACCTTCTCAAGATCAAGCATCCCATCATCCTCGCAGGAATGAATGTCGCAGCTGGTCCTAAACTCGCCGCAGCAGTCACAAACGCCGGAGGACTCGGTGTTCTCGGAGGAATTGGCTACACACCAGACATGTTGAGAGAGCAAATCGCAGAACTCAAGTCTTTCCTCGACGACCAGAGCGCACCATTTGGTGTTGATTTGTTACTTCCCCAAGTTGGTGGCAGTGCCAGAAAGACCAAGTACGCATCACATGCCGGAACATATCCCATTATGATTACTATCCAAACAAAAGCTGACGTGTGAACTCCACAGCTACGATTATACCAAGGGAAAGCTTGATGAGTTGATTGCCATTATTATCGAGAGCGGTGCCAAACTCTTCGTTTCAGCCGTCGGTGTCCCACCAAAACATGTCGTTGAAAGACTCCACAAAGCTGGTATTTTGTATGCAAACATGATTGGACACCCAAAGCACGTCAAGAAATGCCTCGACCTTGGAGTTGATATTATCTGCGCACAAGGTGGTGAGGGAGGTGGACATACCGGAGATGTCCCAACAACTGTCTTGATTCCAGCAGTAGTAGAGCTTTGCAAGGGCAAGACCAGTCCTATGAGTGGTGCACCTGTCCAGGTGGTTGCTGCAGGTGGTATCTACAATGGCCAAACTGTTGCCGCAGCTCTTATGATGGGAGCTAGCGCTGTCTGGGTTGGAACAAGATTCATTTTGACCGAGGAAGCCGGTGCCTCAAAGGCACACCAGGAGGCTGTTAGAACTGCAGGGCATGATGACAACGTTAGAACTATTATCTTCACTGGTAGACCGTTGAGAGTACGAACCAACTCATACATTATCAACTGGGAAGAGAACCGCGCTGCGGAAATCAAGGAACTTACCGGAAAGGGTGTCATTCCTGTTGAGCACGACTTTGAGACTTTGGGAGATGATCTTGATGATGAGGTAAGCATACTCACTTCCCTGGAGAATTCGAGATCCAATAGCTAACATTACTGCAGACAATGGACAACGCCAGACCTTTCCTGATGGGCAAAGCAGCCGCAGTCGTCAACGAGAAGAAGAGCGCCAAGGGTGTTGTAGATGAGTTGGTTGGAGATGCTGTCAAATGGATCCAGAAGGGAGAGAAGATGATTGCCAAATTGTAAAAATAATGGACCAGCATTTGTGAGCAGCATGGCGCTGGAGATTCAGTTTGGATAACGCATTTTTCCTTTGCTTACTCTTTAAATTGGATTGTGTAACAACATAAATTATATCACTATACATTTATATTCCCGTGTCATTTATGTTTTCATTTGCTTCTTTCAACGAACTCTCCTCTGAACTAAGCCTCGAAAAAGTAGCAAGCTCGCTTTATTGTAGGAAATAGTGTTGTTAATGAATCTAGAAAAGATTACATTGTCATCTAATGACGAACACAATATTATCCATCGAACTCCCAATTAATCAGGCCCACAAACGTTCGTTACGTTAAAATGCTCCTTTCTTATACTTAATACAAGTAGTACTCTACCTATTATTCTTCTCTTCTGTCCAATAAAACTCCCATCAGGTCAATTTAAATTTATCACGTGATGTCCGTGGATAACAACGTCATCTGAGCCTCCCATCCGGGTCTGTTGGTGTGAGTAAATAGTTAGATACGACCGATAATACGCGGATTGAAAGAAAAACGTTTAGCGCTTAATGCAGGATAAGTGGTTTTAGTAGGACCCGAGAAGTATGTAGATAGATGAGTTTTGGATGTGCTTTATTACACGACTTTCTTATATCATATATTAGGTTTGCACTCGTTACCATGCTGCGTTACGTATTCGCTGTCCCCCCCCCTTTATGTATCGCGTGGGTGGTGTAGGTTAGTAATACTGTATCTAAGTATACTATTGTACTTGATCTAAACTCGGATTTTCGGTTAATCTTTGGTGTTTTTTCCTACGCTATAGGGAGCAGAGGGATGGTTCGTTTTTTGGAGCTTCTTCATGTGTCTTCTTGCTAGTATGACAGGGTGTTGTATTTGCCAAATGGGGAAAATATAGAAATAAGATTCATGATGAATGAATTTTCATCAATACAATGCACGAGTTGTGAAGATGCCGATAAATGATGCTAGATATAAATCCTCAACCGCAAATTTCGGCCCCATGAAATCGAAACCTCCATATCTCATCAAATTAACCAGCTACTCCATACTACGCCCTACCTTCTCTGGGCTTTGAATCGTTGGAACCAATCGTTTTGACGATACCGAATCAGGTACGAGGTTTCGCTGTCATATGTATCTTAACGGCGCGAGTTTTCTTTAGCGAGAACGGCGCGCATTTAGTGCGCAATACTATCTTTTGACTATGATACGATATCTTGGAGTTTTAGATAATGACTCGACATATTGATTCGTCCGATTCACTCTTTTCCACGGGACTGTGATAAGGGGAGTCAGATATTGTGATTGTGATGCGATGATAAGCGTGTGTGATTCCTAGTGTAGACTTGGGGGTATAAGAGTTCCCCAGGCCGTCGGGGCTGTTTCTTCTCTTCCTCGCAGAGATAACTTTATACCAACCAGTACTTCTGAGCTTATCTTCGAATATTCGAATACTTCTGTTAAGCAACCTTTTACTCAGTCTTATCTTCCACGGTAATACTTTTATCACTTCGATACCGTTAGACTTAACTACGCCCTCTACACTTGAAGAGTAAGTAATTCGTCATGTCTCCCTTTCCCCTCTCGCTTAATCCACCAGCGAGTATCATAAGACTCATTCTCATCCCAATATGACACATGAATCACGAAACAAATACCCCTCATACATCAACCATGACTAACTCCTCAGACCATCCCAAATGTCTACCCACAACACCCCAACACGCACCACCCCAACATCCCGCCCACCAACCACCAACGCAAGCACACAAACCCAACCACAAACCCTAACACAACCCCCCCTCGACCTCCCCCAATCCCTCTGGTTCTACACCCCCGACCAATACATCCCCGTCCCCGAATCAACCCGCGAATGCATAACCTACGTCCGCACGTGGGCAAAACGAGTCGACAACTACGGCCACTACAGGCACCCCAAGAACCCCGCCACGATCCCCTTTTTCTGGCAGCCCGGCGGCACGAGAGCCTTGCGACCGGTGGAGTACACGAGGTTTTCTTTTGGTGAGGAGATGGAGTATGAGGTGGATGGGGATGATGGGTATGAGTCGGCGTCTTCGTGTGCTGAGTCGGTGTTTGATGGGGATGATGTGGATGTGGATGAGATGAAGGCTGAGAAGGGTGAGATGAGGGATGGAATGGATAGCGATGCGTATGAGGGGTCTGTTCCGGATTTGGTGGATTATGAACCGCCTTTGCTTGAATCGTATCAGGATTGGAATCCGAGGTTTGATGCAGCTGTACAAGCAGAGATCTTAGCGGACGCAGAGTACCTTTATAAAGAGTTCGGCTAGTTCTTTCCTCTCCCCTTCCCTTCTTTTCCTCCCCCCTCCTCATCCCCCCCATCCTCCCCCATCCCTCAGAATCCCTCACGACTAACAAACAACCCCCCAGGCATCCAAAATTTCAAATGGGCCCTCTTCTACCTCGTCCCATATTGGTCCTTTGAAAAGACCGTCAAAATGATAAAGTTCCTAGACCTACCCAAGAGGTTGCCGCAAAACTTCCTCAAAGGGATCTACAAGACTTCCTTCGATTTCGAGGAGCATTTTGATGTCGGGTATAGGGATCATCGGGAACTGAATCAGGATGAGGATGATGATGATCACCCCTTTTTGTCATTGGAGGATAAGTCGTATTGGTATCAATGAGTGATTGGTGGGTTTGGAGTTGGGAATGGGTTGGGTATGGGTATAGGTATAGAGAGAGTTTTGGAATTGATTTTGCGTACTTGGCGAGGAGCTTGAAGGTTTTATTTATTGCGTATTGCTTATGGATTGGATTCAGGAACAGGGATGCAAACATTAGACTGTTAGTTAACAAACCTCATTTCGTATTTGCTATCGGGTTCTGATTCGTGATCAAATCACACATTCGAAACCCTCCTCGCCCCTTTTTTCCTCCTAAACCTACCCCAGAATCCCATATCCCTTCCTTTTTCCCTTTCCCTCTCACGCTGTTCAGTTGTCATCACAACCGAACTCTCCGACTTTTCATTCTTCTGTGCCCCCAGACCAGCTTCCCCCTTCCGAATCTCCGCTTGGATCTCATCGACCGTCTTCCTCCTCTGCAAAGCCGGCTTCACGAAATTTGCCGTATTCGTGTTGGCCGCCGTGGTTTCAATCTCGTTTCCAAAGGAGATAGTTCTTGTTCGTTTTCTTTGGCTTGTCGGGGTGGAACCATCTACCACAGGAGGACTGGTAACGAATTGTCCGGTTCTCTGTTTGATGCCTTCCACTGCACTCAGACTCCTCTTCGTTTTCTGGATACCCTTTGGATGCTTGGTCTGCGATCCACTTGACACACCCTGATTCTTCCCATCATCGTCTTCATCCTCACTATCCGTATCCTCTGTAACCTCCTCATCTCCCCGTCCCCCAATCCATCGCCCGAATTTCCCAACGTTTTCTCGCCAGAATCGCATTCCCCTGTTGGTATTCATACTTCCAATCAGGAAGAAGAAGGGCACACAAACGACCGCCAATGTCAAGCCAAAACGCCAGAATCCTGCATCGGTAGGCATATTCGTCATACCAAAAACCGAAGTGACGAACGTCAGAGGTAAGAAGAAAATATTTACCAACGTAAGCAACTTAATATTCTGCCCCTGTTGGACCGTGATCTCAGTCTGCTCCACACTCTTTCGACTCTCCAGCACACTCGTTCCAGAAAACAAATTGTCTCTCAAATCCCTAATCTCCTTCCTCCTCGTGTTATTTTCCTCAAGTAAGACATTCAACTTATTAATTTCGTGATCAAAGTCTTTTTTCAGACTTGCTAGTCGCTTTTTGAAATATGTATCTCTTGCCGAAGACTCGGGAGAGAGAGGCCAGAGAGTAGAATGAGCACCCGCCCAAACGGGGTCTGTGAAAGTCTCCGTGTAGGCATCTATCATTGCTTTGATGGATTGGTTCATGGTGCCTAGCGTTTGGAAAGCCCAGAAGTAGCGGCGGGAGTAGGTGAATGCTGCGTCTTCGAAGAGAAGTTTATCGCGAAGCTCACCGTTGAACATGAAATCCGCCTTGGAATTGGTTAGTTGTGGTTATATTTTAGGCTGTCGAGTGGTTGAGAAAGTGTGACTTACGGGCGGGGTCACGAGTTTCTCAATTTTCTGACAGATTTCATCGAATCTCTTCTCGGCATCTCGGTATTCGATGAGAACCGTATTGAGAAATGCTTCTGGTCCATTGACGTAATGTTTCGTGCTGTCATGACTTCCACTGAATTCCACTCAAATCAGCACTCAAATTCCAAAGTTTCACTACTACAATCACCTTCAAACCCCCCACTCACTACTGGATATCTAGCCTAGATACCATAAAAAACGCAAAGAAACTCAAAACTCACGTGTTACTCTTCCAATCAGGATAACACTCAATATTCAACACATGCCAAGGACTCCACGGACTATAAACATAACCAAACTGAGTCTTCGCTCTCCTTGCGCTATTCTTTAACTTCTTGATGGGTTCACCCACCAAAGAGAGTGCAACGATCGAACTGCATCTTGAAATGGGGATGTGGCCATCTGGAATGGAACGAGCTCGGTCGGATTGTTGCCATGACATGGGATGGCAGTCGTCTCCGATCAGAGTGTAGTACTCGAATGAGAACACGAAGGATTTTTGCTTGCGGGGGTCGGAGTGGAATGCGCCTTTCATGTGAGCCTGTGAAAGTGTTAGACTCAATTGTGGAAGAGAAAGAGATGAGATGATGAGAAAGTTGCAGCTCCAGAAAATTAAATACATGTGGGAATGCTCTCTGCTTGCTCTTGTGGAAAGCATCAAGTGGGTAAAGGACAAACGAGAGCAGATTTCTAGATCCTGTAGCACCTCTAAATTTCTCACTTCCAGCCCAAACCCTCAAAAATAAAGAGCAATGGTAAGGTGTCAAATGTGAAATGAGAAAGGACAACATACAGCAGTAGTACCCTGCTCAACAAAGAGTTTATAGATATGATCCATATCAAAAAGATGATTCATAGTCAAATGGATAGCCGCAAAAGCAATCGACGAGGGTTCTCTCAAAATCCTATTCCACATTAGCATTCTCACCCCCTTTTCTCCAATATCTCCTTTGAAACCCTTCTCAGAATGAGCCCGAGAAATAATGAGAGATATACTTACGTGATTCTCCCCACCGCCTGTCTCAATCTCTCACTATTCGTATTGATATCCTACAAGTCAACTCATTAGCAAAAATGAAAACATCTCAGCCTCCCTAAACGACCCTCAGCTCCAGACACCCCCAATCAGAAGCAAAACAAAAAGAAAAAAAGTACCCTAACCAACCCCCAAAACACCTCATCCTTCCCCTTCCCCTCCACCGCCTTGGCCGCAGAATGCAACGGCAAAGGCGTCCCATCAACCCCCACCTCAAAGACCTGATAAAGACTATACCTGGCCCCCTCCTCCCCCCTCCCCTCCTTCCCCTCATTCCAAAGATTAGGATACTTGACCCTTCCAGTCCTCGTAAACAGACTTTTGAGGATAGCAAAAGACCACTCATCCCACTCATACGCCCTCAAGTGATTCTTAAGATCCTCATCCGAGAACGACGTCTCGGCAAGGAGATCTTGGACATAGAGTGATTCATCATCATCCGACGCATCCGAGTGACCCGAGGACACAAAGGAGGATTTGAGAGATTTCCCGCCCGTGAGGGTATTCCCAGTTCGCAACGGCGCGTCGAGGTCCGTATCATATGCTTCTTGGGGGGAAGGAGTACTTCTCCGTTTCAACTGGCTCGGACGACTCGATCTCGTCGGCGACGAGATTTCCGTCATGGAACTATGAAGACTATCTGTCGTCGTCGTCGTCGTTCGGGCTGGTAGATTCGCAATCAGGGGATGCGCACCAGCTGCACCCCCATTACCAGAAATCGGCAGTGGTACCGACTGGGCAAGAGCATCTTGTACCAACTGCAACGTCGTGAGGTAAGCCGTTCGTTCAGCCTCCAGTCTCTTCAATAATTCCCTGGTATCCATCGTACGAATTCCATTTGTACAACATCAGAAAAGGACTTTCGACGTTGGATAGGAGAAGCTCAATTCAAGGTATCCGGTGAAAGCCTGCTAGTCTGGTGAATTAATTGTGGGGATTGCTGTCATATCGCCCCATCCATGGGTCTTCCCTGGGTTTCCAGGGCGTGAATGAGCCGTTATAGGGTCCAGGACTTCTTGGCGATTACATACTCGATCGGTGAAGATGATGGTTTGGTTTACGCTCCGTATAACTCACAATGTTCAAAATGCGGTGAGGTTTCATGATAGGGTAGATACAGTTAGAAAGCATAAGGCAGTTAGTTGGGCCAAACTCTCTCCCGGTAGACAAGAAAAGTGGTAGAGATTCATTTTTTGAACTATTAGCGTACTTGTAAGTTAATTCTAAGTACCAAAATGTTTAAAATATCTAGAGCAGTTGTCTTTATTGTGCTATCGTTTTCGACAAATCACTTTAATTGTTCCAAATAAATAATATAATATAAAGGGTTTTAATTAAGTTTTAAAGTTACGATAAGATAAAAGAAGTCTCTGCCACTTTTCTTGTCCACCGTGAGACTCTGTAAGAGACGTGGTCGGTCCTCTTTACCTACACACCATCAAAAGTTGTTATGCCAAAGGTCTGGCACAAACAACTTAATTGTCCCAATTCACCTAGGTCAATGAAGAGTAAGAAGTGACAATTATAAGTAGCTCTTAAAAGAAGTATTAATTTCCATTTCTAACGCCTACATTAAATCTATCCTGGCGGGAAAAATACACGCTGAATTAGTTCTTCGGAAGCGAAGGAAAGAACAACGATAAAATAACACATGCAAGGATATATATACCGAAAAGAAAAACCTAAGACAGAGAAACCAGGGTATATGTTTAGACCAACGAAAATGTCCCAGGAAATAAAGACGCATGTCAGTCAGTAAAGGTAACCAACCTTCCATCATCCCGCCCAACGTCGATTTCCTATCCCCCTATATCCGTATCGTATAGTCTCGTATTTACCCATGATTTACAACATTATGCTTCGGGTCCGTCGCCACTTATGGCGAACGGTACCGTTTATTTCTTTCCTTTCTTCTTCTTATCTCTCTTGCTCTTCTTGCTAGGCGAATCAGCACTCGGAGACAACGGTCCGGATGGAGAAGCAAATGCGCTTGTTGATGCCGAGTCTGTATCACCACCAGGAGACACGGGAGACATAGGCGACAGAGGACCTTCTTCACCCGGTGTTGCAGGCTCCGGGGGTGTAATAGCTAGCTCTTTGCCTTTGTCTTGAGGGATATCTTCCGGCACGTCGTCAATTGAATCCTTCTCGCCTACAGGTTCCCCGATCGGCTCCTCAGCAGGAGATGCAATTTCAGGTTCTTTCTCTGGGACAGGCTCGTCCAAAACCTCCGGTACCGGCTCCGTTTCCCTTTCATCTTTAATTACTGGCTCCCTAATTGGAGCCTCCTCCAAAACTGGCTGTTCAGCGGGTTCTGGAACGCTTTCCTCCGCAATAGGCTCGGGTGTTGCTTCTTCGGCTATTGGCTGTGCCGCCGCCTCTTCGACCTTTTCTTTAGGAATTGGCTCCTCGACAATCGGCTTATCAGGAACAGGAGGTTCTTCGGTGACTGGCTCCGAATTCTCGATGACAGGCTCCGGTTCGTCCACGGTTTCCTCGATAATCGGCTCAGGTGATGCCTCTTCCTCGATTGGCTCCGGCTTCTCGATGATAGGATCAGGTTCGGGCACAATTTGTTCTGTAATCGGCTCAGGTGCTGGTTCTTCGACAGTTTCGGGAACAGGCTCTTCGAGAATTGGCTCAGGTGATGCCTCCTCCTCGACTGGCTCCGGATTCTCGATGACAGGTTCAGGTTCAGATTCGGGCACAGCTTCTTCGGCAATGGGCTCAGGTGCTGCTTCTTCAACCTTTTCTTCAGGAATTGGCTCCTCGACAATCGGCTCATCAGGAACAGGAGGCTCCTCGGTGACAGGATCAGGTTTGGGCACAATTTGTTCTGTAATCGGCTCAGGTGATGCCTCCTCCTCGACTGGCTCCGGATTGTCGATGACAAGCTCAGGTTCAGGCACAGTTTCTTCTGGAATTGACTCCTCCACTGAAGCTTTCTCGACAGCCGGCTCAACAGGAACAAGTGGTTCCTCGTTGACTGGTTGTTGCTCCTCAACAACAGATTCCTCGACTGGCTCCTGCTGCTCGATAATAGTTTCAGGTTCGGGCACCGTTTCTTCGATGATGGGCTCAGGTACTGCCTCAACAGGCTGTGGAACAGGCTCTTCGTCAATCGGCTCTGGGTCGGGCACGGATTCTTCTACAATCGGCTCAGGTGCTGCCTCCTCCTCAACAGGCTGCGGGACAGGGTCTTCGATAGTCGGCTCTGGTGCTTCCTCTTCAATTTCCTTATCTCCATTAGACATGGCAGCGACCGTACCTGCACTTACCGCACCGCCAAGAGCAAGAGCCCCAATTGCTAAAGCGATCTCAGAACTCGAACTCATGGCCTCCTCGTGTAGATCCTTAACCAAGGCACCATGGGCATCAACTGCAGATTTTGAATCGCCAACAGAAGCCTTGAGCTCTGTAATACCATTCAGAATCTCGTCTTGTGATATTCCGTCCTTGATGTTCCCAAGAACAGGACCATAAGAGGCGAGAATGTCATGATTTGCCTTGATAGCAGCCAGAACATCTGGATCGGGTGACGCTCCCTTGATTTCAGCAAGAGTTCCATTTTGTTGTTCTAAGGTACCGATTATGGTATTGAGGTGTGTCTCAAGAGCAGCAACATTTGGACTTCCCTCGTTGCCGGTCGAAGCCTCACGAGGTTGAACACTCTTCAGATCCTCAAAAGCAGCTGTATGGGCGGCATGGGACTCGTTTGCACTGATTGTTGCTGCCTTGATCTCATCGAGAGCTCCGGTATACGTGGTATGAAGTTCATGAGATGCCGCTGTTGAATCTTTGATCGTAGCGAGAGTAGCATTTTGCTCTTCAAGAGTGGTAACGATGGATCCAATTTGTGTCTCAAGCGCCGAGATATCCCCAGATGGCGCAGTCTCTGTTGGCTCTGCTGACCTAGCAGTTTTCAACTCACCCAAAGTAACGGCGTGGGCGGCGTGGGATTCGTTGGATGCAGTTGTACCTTCGTGAATTGCTGTTAGCGTTGTCTTGTGGTCGTCTAATGCGATCAAAACAGCGCCAATCTTCTCCTCGAGAGGAGCCAAATCAACACTTCCGCCAACAGGTGCAGCTTCGACTGATTTAGACTTGAGTTCACCCAAAGTGGCAGCGAGTGCGGTAAGGTGTGGTTCTAGGGCGCTTGAATCGCCAACTGGAGCACTTCCTTCAACAGATTTGATGGATTCGTTCGAAGCTTGTACAGCAGCGTCCAATTTCTCAAACGCGGCCACATGGCTAGCATGTGACTCGTTGGAAGAATGTAAAGCGGTAAGAATCTCGGCACTGACATCTCCCTCTCTAATCTCAGATAACATTTGCGTATGGCTTGTTTGAGCTTGGCCCAAGTCGTGTAGCGATGTCAGAATTTCGGCACTAATATTGTGCTTCAGTTCATTGATAAGGCTAGTCTGAGTATCCAATTTGCCAATAATGGCGGTAACGTCGCTTTGCAACTCTCCAATATTGCCTCCGCCCTCTACAGGCGCAACCTCGCGACTCGTTGCGGGACCGGCCGATTTGATCTCATCCAAACTTCCTGAATGAGCCTCCATCTTGGTGTCGAGAGCCGCAATTTGAGCTTCCAAGGCGGCAAAGTTTGCATCATAAGAAGCTGGAGCAACATCACCACCTCCAGTGGACTTTATTTGCTCTAGACTTCCAGAGTGAGCCTCCATCTTGGTGTCGAGAGCCGTAATTTGAGCTTCCAAGGCAGCAAAGTTTGCATCATAAGAAGCTGGAGCAACATCACCACCTCCAGTAGACTTTATTTGCTCTAGACTTCCCGAATGAGCCTCCATTTTGGAGTGAAGATCTGCGAGCTGAGTTTCCAAGGCAGCAAAATTGGTATCGTAGGACGCTGGAGCGGCAACACTTCCACCAAGAGATTTGACACCTTCCAAAGCTTCCGCATGTGCTGCGTGAGAGTCGTTTGATTTTTGAACAGCAGCCAAGATATCCGCGCCATTATCGGCAGCCTTGTGCTCTTCTACAGTAGAAGAGACAACGTCGACCTTGGAGCTCACCTCATCCACCTTGTTGCTTATCTCATCCACTTTGGAACTTATTTCTTCCATCTTGGAGCTCAACCCAGCAAGGTTCTCTCCACTTGAGGCAAATCCTGTTTCAATATTCTCTTTGATAGATGTGATCTCGGCCTGTAACGCTTGTAACGCTGCCGGATCCGATTCTCCTCCTGTCGAAGGTGCAGCCGGTTCGGATCCTTGGGTCAAGGAACGTTCTTTGATTTCGTTTAGTACGGTAGCATGGGAGGCGTGGAAGTCGTTCGATTTTTGAAGTGCCTCCATAACTTCCGGGCTGGCGCCGGCGCCGCTGGATTCTGTAGGGGCCCCAGAACTCGATTCGACAGCCGTTTTCAATGCATCTAGTTGCGCAGAAATAGAGTCTATCTTCTCTGATATATCTGCAGTCCCTTTCAGACTTGCGAGGTCCGTAGTAATCGCATCTAACTTTGTTGCGTGCGTTTCCAATAAAGCTGGATGCTCGGCTACTTGTTGGTTGATATTTTCCACATTTTTGCCAAGGTTTGAGCCAACAGCGTCAACAATCAATCCAATATCCTCCTTCAACTGGTCCAATTGCGCCTGGAGAACAGATGCTGTAGTTGTCGATTGCTCGGTAGAGGTTTTAAGGGCGTCTATATCGTCTTTGGTGGGACCCAATGTGGCTTGTATAGATTCAATGCCAGATGCGACCTCGCTAACCTTTTTGTTGTTGCTTTCTACCGCACTCGATAGTTCGGCAAGGGTCGCAACAGTTCGCTTGTTGTTCTTCTCGAGTGACTGTTTGAATTGTTCCATGCCTGCTGAATCAAAGGCGTCTCCCCGCGGGGGCGAGCGCGCTGTAGGTGTTCGAGGACTCGAAGGTGCAGGCGTTGACTCTGCATTACGCTGCGATTGCTGAGTATCAATTCGTTCCAGTAAATTCTCTACACTTCTGTTTGTTTTTCGGAGCAGCACCTCGTGCGAATATACCGATTCCACCAGCGGTTGCAGAGTGTCGAGCGCATCTTTGATGGAAGGAGAGATTATCTTTGCCAAGTTTTCTGCTATAGCAATTTGAAAAGTTTCGCTGCTGAGAGCCTCGTCAAGGGCCTTTCGAAAGGCCTGTGGATCCTGATTGACGAAGCCATTGATGGCTGTGGGACTGGTGACTTCGGACTTGGAACGCTTCCCTTCAAAGGAAGCTCGAATGCGACTCGTCAATGGCGGACGAGAATTGGGAGCCATGGTGTTTTGGGTGCAACGACGCAAAGGCGAACTGCATTGGAGGGGACGATTGGGGGGAAGGGGGGAGAAGAGAGGAGAGAGGAGGGAAGGAAATGTACTTGGTAGAGGGGACAGCCAATGTTTTCAATACCAGTGCAACTAAGTTACAGATCGGATCGTGTCAGATCAGCAATCAAATGGTGCTGGCTGTCCCAGACTCACCGTGCTTCTGCGCTTTCCGCCTTGTGGTGCCGCCGCCGCTAGGAAATCGTCCGACCATGATGATAAAAGTGGGTGATATAGCTTGCGTTCATGCATCGAACAACGCATCCCACACTGGCATACTGGTACGGAGGATTGAGGTTGCGCAATGAGTCTGGCCAACGACGTGTTTCTGACGCCCCAAGTTCCCGATTCTGCATCCGGTTGCATGTTTGTCCGATTCTGCAGCTGCTTGGAAACATGGAGAGGCCTGGAGGAGGGGCCAAGTGGTTGGAGGGTAACCTTCAATTGCGTCGTGATGTTATGGGGACAGGCGCTTGGAGCACCACGTCTACACGCACTCACCACACTCGCAGGGTAGGCGAGGAAAAGTTTGAGGCAGGCATCACCTTCCTCGCATCGCGTCCAGATAGCTCCTTCCATCTGCCCATGGGGGAATAGGTTGGGCAGCTCCACTGCACCTGCACCATGGTCAGGCCTGCTGACTGGACTTGACAACTCAACCATTTCCACAGTTCTGGTAAGCGTCATGATCGGCCTATGAAATTGATGAGAGTATAAAAGGAATTGCGCGTAATCAAAAAAGGCAATCATGTGTGAATCCAATCCCAATTGACAGCGAAGCACAATGGGGGTTCTGTTTCGGCAATTTTGCAAATCGGACCGGCTGTGACCTCCCGCATTCGGCGTCGGGCGGGTGTTATGAGGACGTTTGCTGAAGAAACATCAAATGAGAGAAAGTACGAGGTTACTCAAATACACCGCAACTCCTTGATCTGACAAATATACTTCCTATGTCTTCGTTGCGTTATATCAAGAATCCATGTCCATGGCATGGATTTCGTACTTGGTGACTTGGTCAAACAATAAAAGTCTACCAGAAAACTCATATCACTTCTCATAATCTACCCCACCTAGCTCAAGCCGGCGCAAGTAACTCGACCACACGAGACGATGAAAGGCTCCGTAGAGACTCATTTCTTCCATGGCTTTGCAATATTAAAATAGAATTGCTATCAAAATAGAAGTCTCAGAGTTCCCTCTTCCATCCAAGATTACGTTTCAAGCGGACGAACTCCGAAGGTCGAATTAGAGATCTCTTTCAACGTCCGCTTACCACAGGATTGGTACCATGCTGCACTCATTCAAGTAAAGAGAGAACCATCAACCATGGTCGATTTAAGGTTCTCAAACTGAACATTTCTGCGTTCCAACCCCAAAGAATTTTCCTCAACGGTCATCCAATGAATCAACGCAGTTGCAGCCTTGAAAAATGCGAAACTGCATCAAAACATCCAACAAGCGACCCTCCTATTTCATGCCGAGAGGTCAGGCGAAAAATAGAAGAATGGGGAAGTGCGAAAGTCCGACCGAAGTCCCGTCCGAGCCTCGGTTCAGCACACGCAGGCACACAGAACAGGGCTCAGCTTTCCGCTTGTGCGCGCGGGACCCTTCAATTAGCCAACACAAACATTCAAACATTCCTCCTCCAACACCACCAATCTTTCCAGAGATTCTTTTCTGATTCGTCCTTTTTTTTTGATCTCCTGTCGTCGTCATGTCTTCCGGTACCACTCCAGGTGCGAAGATCAATCAGAAACTTGATGTTCTCCCACCGGTCATCGCGGACAAGCTACCCCACGTTCCCGAGTCCAAAGCCGAATTGAAGGAAGATGCAAAAGTCGCGGGCCAAAACTCCCTCCAGGGACTGAGGAGCCTGGTAGCTGGAGGCTTTGGAGGGGTATGTGCTGTAGTTGTTGGACATCCATTTGATTTGGTCAAAGTCCGTCTGCAGACCTCGGAGAAAGGTGTCTACAGCGGGGCAATGGATGCAGCAAGAAAAGGTATCGCGAGAGATGGTCTAAGAAGAGGGTTGTATGCTGGTGTTAGTGCGCCTTTGGTGGGAGTGACTCCTATGTGTAAGTTTCTCTCTTATTGTCCTTATCGCTTGCGCTCAGGATTTGGTTACTGACATAAAATACACAGTCGCCGTCTCATTCTGGGGATACGACGTCGGAAAAGGCCTCGTCCGTCAATTTTCTACCGCTCACAACGATCAGCTCTCAATAGCGCAAGTCTCAGCCGCTGGTTTCTTCTCCGCCATCCCCATGACCGCTATCACCGCCCCCTTCGAGCGAGTAAAGGTTCTTCTCCAAGTCCAAGGGCAAAAGACATTAGCACCAGGCGAGAAACCAAAATACAGCGGTGGAGTAGACGTCGTACGTCAATTATACAAAGAAGGAGGTTTCCGTTCGGTATTCCGTGGTTCAACTGCGACTTTGGCTAGAGATGGTCCTGGTTCAGCCGCATATTTCGCAACTTACGAGTACATCAAAAGACGACTTACACCCGTGGACCCGGTGACTGGGAAAGCGAGTGGGGATTTGAGTCTTACTGCCATTACATGCGCAGGTGCAGCTGCTGGTGTAGCTATGTGGATCCCAGTTTTCCCAGTCGATACCGTCAAGAGCAGACTGCAAACCATGGAGGGGAAGCCAACCGTGGGTGGTATCATCAGCTCTCTATATAAAGCTGGCGGATATAAGGCCTTCTTCCCTGGATTTGGACCAGCAATCGCAAGAGCTATCCCAGCTAACGCTGCGACGTTCTTGGGTGTTGAACTGGCACATCAATTCATGAATAAGACATTTGGATGAGGAGAACGCGGATAGATAACGCAACAGCATCACGGACAGGCGAATCTGGACCGGCAAATGGTGGGAACGTGTATGATTTAGGGTATTTGCATTATAGCGCAAGGAAAGCATGCATCTTTGAAAGAATCGTGGGCATCCATAGCTAGTTATCATAGAACTTTTACACACACAAACGCACTAGTTCCCCGGTTTCCTCTCAAGAATACCTTTCCTCTCGAGTTCTACAGTTCGAACAAACCGCCATTTTCAAACTGACTTTCTCATTATAATGCCAAGCATAACACTTTTCTCCCAAAATCTTATTATTAATTATTGACTCGCAATAAATTGATTTTCCACATTTGCCAAAAATGATCCAAGAATGACATGTGAAAATCCTTGGCGGAAGGACCCCGCCAGGGCGCCAGGGACATTCATTGCATTTTCCCCGAATCCCGCAGAGCCGCACGCGCCTTTTNTTTTTTTTTTTTTTTTTTTATTATTCGGATTTTGAACGTCGCTCGCTTGTTTGGAAGGGGGTTCTTGGGTTCATGGATGGTTTGTTGATGACATCTTTGAGGCTATTCTCTATTAGACAAAGAGATGTTCTCGCGTGTTTAGATTGTTGGAGTTGACGATTTCTGAATAATTCTTTCTGGAATTGTAAATTTGTGGATTTTGGTGGTGAGTGAGTGGGTGTGTGAGGTGGTATGGAAAGATCTTATGGTGTTGAGTGAGGGAGGAAGGAGGAAGGGGGAAGGGGGAAAGGGGAGATGAGGGATGGGAGAAAGCATGGGGGATGGAGTAACTTTATATCTCATTGGAGATATGGATTTCCTCTGCGTATCTGACGTCCCTTCTTGGGTCTCAGACAGTCAGACTCTCCACCCCTTCTGAACTGATCATTTCCTCAAGAGAGATTTTGCGAGCTTTCCATTTTGTTCTGATATTTTAGTTCTGGGTGTTCGATAGATGGCTTTGTATCGGTTGCTGGATCTTCTTTTTTCTTTTACCACCTGTGTTTTCTGTCTTGAAACTGTTAAACCTACTCTGAGGGAAGGGGGTTACCTTGGAGGAATATCATAACCAACATTTCGATTTCTCGTCTACTAGGAAGGTAGATTGCGATGATCGAAGGATTGGTATGATATTGCCTTTATGTGTTCTCCCGAATAGAAATATGCGAGTCTGAACTACTTGCCAAATACCCTGCCTCACTGGGGTTTTCTTGCTCGATCGGTGTCGTAAGAAATTTTGCGATGGGTGCATGTTAAATACTTGCCTATGTTGTCCGTACCGTTTTTGCCGTATTTCTTAATCTATAGTTCGAGTCGGAATTCTTGCTTGAAGTTCTGGTTTTTACCATTTCTCTTTTGCGGTCTTTGGATTTATATTCTGGCCTGCATTGCGCTTTTCATTGCGTCGATGTGAGATGTGTTGTCGTTGTTCTGCATACAGTATGGAAGTTTGTTATAATGCAGGTCTGGTACAAGCTGAGCAATTGTTTTGGTATACCTAGATTTTCCATGAGTGCAAAGTAGCAATACTTCTCTTCTAAGTCGTATACCTATTTTAGTTATGCGATGGTGTTGGGATAATATTGTTTGGATCTCGGTGCATATGGATCAATGATCACGTCTCTTACTGTTCTGTTGGGGTACTGCTATTTTTATTGTTGAAGACTTTCTGTTGAGTTCTTGAATTTCCTGGATTTCCTGGATTCCTTTCTTGGGATTTCTGAGAGAGAGATGTTTGGCTGCGCTGGCTCTGGTTTACTATCCAGCCGTTTTGAACTCTACCAAAGACATCTCAGCGAGAACGATGTCGCTCGACTCCTACCTTGGTATCGCAGGATGCATGTCGCACTTTCCTTTCGTTTACTTCTCGTATGGGTCGAGCACTTGGGCAGCGATACATGTCTGCAAGTATCTTGGTCTTTCGATGTTTTGCTATGCCATCGTCCAGAGACTGGACCTTACAGCTTACCAATTCGCTGTATCTAACCAGTTTCGCGATATTACTTTTGGTCGCAATACATAACTCTACATGAACCTCCCCATATCAGGGTGAATGATGACCTCAAGGCACCTCCGTATGCCGTCCATCTCCCCAAGCATTCCTTCCCAGTTCAATAGCAGCACGCGTACGTTCCACAACCCCACCACCCTCGCCCCTCCCATTGGCCCGCCCCCTCCTCGGCGTTTCCCCAACCAATCAGAATCCCCCATCCCACCCACAATCCCTTCATACCCCTAAACAACACATCAGCCAACATCAACCAGCAAGTCTCTTACCCGGCTGGTGCGATGGTGGCATCGACCACACGCTGGGGTCAACTCTGGGAGTGCTCGTAGACTTGTCCTGGTCCTACTCGGCGTGGTAGGGGTCAGCTCTGGGAGCGCGGAAATAATTGTGGGGGATTAGGTTAGGAAGCTTGCTGTCCAGAGGAACAACTGCTGTCCCTCGACAATGTAATAAACCTGCGGGTTTTTCCTGAGATCTCGCTGGGGATCCATATGGTTTTGCTGTTTTTTGGGTGGTTTCTTGGTTCTTTTTGGGATTTTGTGGTTTTAGCGAGGGTGTGGTTGCTTGCTTTGGGTGGCTGGTTGCGTTGTGCTGGAGCCTAGTGAATTGTCTCGACGAGTGGTAGCATGAAGATGAACAGAAGCTCACGGATTAGGTTGGTCATATCGCTATACACGTATCTACTTTTATATTCTCGCGCTTACCTCCTTTTTCTGCAGTAGAAATTGTAAGGCGTGCACTTCATGGTTTGGTTGTACGGGGAGTGTAGGTTCTCTCAAAACGTCCAATCCACACACGCCCTCGTCTTATAAATAGCGGTACTCGTCGGTGATGATTCCTTTCCTTGACATTTCTTTTGTCCCCTGCGATGATCTTCATTTCCTTGATTAGGATGTTCTGAGTCCGGTGAGCGATGGATCTTTTACCTTGCTCTCCTCCCCCCTTTTTATGAAATAATAGTTATAACGAATGGAGGGAATTGGTATGGTTAGTGGTTAGGTATGATAGGAAAGCACAAGACAGGATAGGATATGAGAGACATAGCTGTGATAGGTATTCTGCCTGTTCAACTGTTCTAGAGGTAGGGTTAGGGTTCGTACTTCCTGTTTTCAAAATCAGCACCATCCTCACGTAGTCGGGTTGTTCCCTATTGCCTGCTTCCACTTTCCTCTTCTTTACTCTGTTAGTGTGGGGTAGGGTTAGAGCTGGGATGAGTTGCTGGGATGAGCTTTCCTGTATGTTAGCTTGAACGGGCAAATATTAAGCTGGAACAAAATTCATGTTTGGGACACTGTAGTACATTGGTTGATGGAACTGGACTACATAGCTAGCTACACATCTTTCCCAACGAAACCCGACATCTCTCCTTTTCTGGAAAATGCTTCCCCGAAACGGAAGTCAAAGAATACCAAAACAAGTCTACACATTTCCCACTGCATATTATTTTCGTACCTCACAGCCGATCTAATCGACAATCTCCCGAAACTTGAAGACAGGAGATTTATACTCACCGTCGCAATGGCGCAACCAGGTGTGTTGTGGGTCGGTATCAATAGTATCCATACTAACGCCTCTTGCTAAAAGCTCATTGCGCTTTCTTAGTCGCTACATATGAACATCCTTGAAGGCCATGGTCATAGATGCGTCAAGGTAATTCCATCCGCATTGATAATTGGTCGCAACCATTCTACTTGTTATGAAGTCTCTCAAGTTTCGAGAAAAGGGATCATTACCAGGTCGGCTCATGATCTCATAGGGCATCATGGTTGGGCTTTTGAGGGCAACTGGCTTGGCGTTGCCAGAAGTGCGGCGACTGATGATGAGAAAGACTGTGGTGGTTGTTGGTGTCACGTCACGTCAGGTTGAATTATCCAAAAGCAAGAGCTATAGAAGCTTGGGGGTACAGACCTTCTTCAACCCCGAAATATCTGAACGCCATCTGAACCCGACTGAGTTTTCTATCCTCGAGGTTGCCAAAGTTGTCATACTCATGTGTTGTAAATCTCATCCAATGGTCGACCGAGAAAGCAACACTTCTATGGCGACGGCTTTTCGGAAGTGGAAATGCGGGATCTTCTGGGCTGGAAATAAGAGCTTCAAGTAAGGTGGTGGCTCGGTCTCCAAAGGGGAATGTAAAGCAGAGGGTGTCGAGTGCAGTGTTGACAGCAGTTATAGGTTCTGGTCCATATTCGTCCGAATCCCCATTCTCGAAGTAGGTCAGGAGGGATTTGGCTTCCGTTCGCGATTCGTGGTTGACTGCGAGGAGATGACAGTTTCCGCTAGGAGACGCAATCACACCGTGTTCTATGGATTAAAGTTAGTATCATACAAAAGAGAGAGAGAGATGCTCATGCACAAACCTGTTGAACGATCATGGATTAACTCGACGACTTGAGGGACCAAAGTTGCCATTCGCCATATCTTTTGTCTAAGCTCTGCTGGTAGCTCCAGGAAACGACGAAAGTCTTGTAGTTGTGGCGTGTTGTGGTACTTGGGTCCCCCTGATGTGGATAGATCAGATGGCAAACTTTGAATGGTAGCTTCCCCTAATGCTGCGGGTGCTTGAGAAGCAGTTTCAATAACGCGCCTAGTGTGATCATGCTGTTCTGCTGCACGCAGCTTGCGTAGAATAAATCTGACAAAAGAGTCCATGGTGGGGGGTGGTTGTCTAGTGGTACAACGCTCTTGCACAGTAGATGCAAAATAGCTTGTTGTTTGCTCTTTGGTTTCTATGGAGCGCTTGATATATAGTTAACAAGAACCACCTGCAAGGGTATCTCAGCAGAGGTTAACTATTTCCTTGTGAATACGTGTTATGTGCTTCCACTTAGTCTTTTTCAGACGCAATTAAAGTATAATGAAGCTTGAAGGCGACCAAGTGAATAAAACTATGGTAGCACACTATAGTCTGGTAGCTTTACTGATATTTTCAAAATTCATTCACTTGCGCATCGTTGGCTAGGACTGCTCTAGATGCTTGGTATTCAATAGGGTATAAATAATCACTCATCTTCTCCTCAATCCCCACATAATATTACACCACCATCATAAAGATTGAGGGGTCCTGCTCCAGCTTATTGATTGGATCTGTTTTCCATCTCTCCCGCCTCCCACCCCCCTGTCTCCGCCCCCTTCCGACCTCCTCCGATATTTGTCTTTGCGACCTGGTTTTTCAACTCTCATCTGCACCTCTTCTGACAAGCAGCAACGAGCCTTATTGACGCCCGATCAGCGCAAATATATCAGCTTCACGATGGATCCTCCTGAACCCGCCTCTTCAGGCAGAGCAGCCACATGTGCAAAGCCAGAAAAGACGGTCACCATATCTTCTGATATGCTCAATGAGCTACTTTGACGCCCGATCAGCGCAAATATATCAGCTTCACGATGGATCCTCCTGAACCCGCCTCTTCAGGCAGAGCAGCCACATGTGCAAAGCCAGAAAAGACGGTCACCATATCTTCTGATATGCTCAATGAGCTACTCTCAGCTGCGTCCTCTATGATGTCGAACTCAAAAGAGAAGAAGCTCAGCCGACTGAACAAACGCTACATCAAAATCTCCAGCAAAGTCAAGGAGGTAATCAACAAGGAACGACAGTTCACCTACTTCCCGCTCTTACCACTGGAGTTGAGACGCGAGATCTGGGAGTACTACCTCACAGATGAGGTCATAGTCATGAAATGGCAAAGTCACGTTGGTATCGGTGGTAAGTTCATACACATCGTCCTATTCAACGGGACCTTCGCATTATGGCATTATTACTCACACATTTGCATAGGTTTCCTTGAATGTGTAGGAATAAATGCAAATACAATTCTCGGACAAGTCAGCCGCGAAGCACTTTCTGTAACTCGACATGTTTTTGGCATGCAACATTTCCAGCCAGCCATAGAAGGACGTTATTGATTGAACAATTCCATAGCGATCAGCCTCGACACCCAAATCCCTTTCTTCGTCGGCGTACCCGTTCAAGTAAGTCTCTACTATATGTTGAAGAATAATTTTGTTCCTGGGGTATGCAGTTACAATGACATGTTTTCCGAGGGGTACCCTGGCCTTCCCATTCTACGAAAGTCTCGTGGCATTCCCCGTATTGCCTTCGAAGCAAAAGACTGGGCTTCAGCCATGTTGGAAGACAATTACATTCATCCAGACCCGAATGTGGATTCTGTGATGGGTATTTTGGCTGCTATACAATTCCTTGAAGTGCGAGAGGGTATGTATAGTCATTCGCGTAACACAGGGAGAGTATGCTAACCAAGCCTTTCACCAGTCATCATCGTGGTTCACCAAGAGACAACCTCCAAAAATGTGCGATTCGCAAATCCCACCATCGACCTCGAAGATACGGTCTTTTCTTCCGCGCGGTTCGATGCTTTCTCGCGGTGGATCTCCATGATGTTCACGCGCCAGCCAACACGTCCCGTCACATGGCGAACTTTGGAGGAAATGACGGAGGAGCTCTTGGTAGACAAAAACGATGAAAGAGTGACCCAGAGAGATGATAAGTTGGTCGCCCTGAACCTTACACTTGATCAATTCCGCGCCCGGGAAAAGCTTTTCATGGTATGTGATTTTCTTTGCCCTCTTTATCTTCGGTCTCACATTCGCGCTGCCACGAGATAAATGTATATTGACTCGTTTTAGTGGTCAAGGTGTGATGGATGGGTCTGTCCCAAGATTAGATACCTAGAGGCAGTATGAGATGCGTGAAGGCTAAGGTAGGAATATTGATGACTTTGGCCAGGTGTGTCGTTCGCTGGCTTGGCGCCAGTAAGCGAGGGAAATGATGTTTGTCCTAGACTTGAGGAGATAAGATCACTTTTGCTAGACACCTTAGTCAAGTCGGAAGTTCCAGTTCCTTCTTGTACTGAATTAATAAAAGAGAGAATCTTATTACATTTTGCAGGCCCTCTTTGAGTGAATGCAATGTTTTTACATGTCTGATTGAATCCTTATCTTATTTTGAAGAAAAGTCAATAATAATGTATATACACATGTTATGCAAAGTGTTCTAAAAAAGAAAGAACAAATCATGTGGGTAAAAATCACTTTACACGAGTGACTTAACTGTTCTCAATAGTGATATCAAGGGACCAAGGCCCCACTAGAAACAGGAGGAGTTCTACTTCCATTCATCAGAACAGCTTCCCAGGGAGTCCAGGATTAATAGCATTATAGATATATATCTAGAATTAATGAAATGCACTACTTACTCTACTCTCTATCAAATTCCAAAATATGCGTGGCAATGCGGGTTCTATCCACTCATGGCGAACCATTATAGTCACATCAAGGTAAAGTAATGCAAGTATGCCTGAAATATCTCAAGAATTTAGTCTAAAGTGGTTTGAAACGTCCTGCGCGAACCTCGAAAAAGATCCAACCGTCTAGAAAGAAATAATCAAACAGAAGGAGAAAAGAACGTCCCGCAGCCTCAAAACCATCTTCACCATAACTCCCCTGGAGCCTCCACCCCTGCCCCCTCATCACATCAAGTCCTCCCAACCACCCCCTTCACCAACCCAAGAACTCCCAGAAGCCCAAACACAAGCGGCCCTCCCTCATCCATCTCCGCCATCATACCCTGCATCCTCTCTCCACACCTCATCCTCAACCCCTCCTCATAACGTCCAGGAAAAAACGGCCCAACCACCACAAGCAACGCATAAAAATAACATCTTACACAACTCCCTCATCACCCTCACTCTCCCTAACCTCAACCCAAAACATCCAAGACCTCATCCAAGCAAGCTTCTCATATTTCCAGGGGATATTGAAGCTGGAGAGCATCGGTAAGTGTGAGAGCGAGTTGTTCCAAGTCCTGAAACCCGGTGTGATGCCAGGTTTCTGTGCTGATGAGGGGGTTGGTGGCGCGTATTGCGGTTAGGATTGTTTGGATTTGGTGGTGCATTGCTTCGAGGTTTCTGGGAGGTGGGATTGTGGGGATGGTTGTTGGAGGGGGGTTGTGTTGGGGTGGGAAAGGGTCGCCTAGGAGGTCTGGGTAGATGGTTTGGGTGGTGTGTTGTTTGATTTGTTTTAGAGCCTGGGGAAGCCAGTTTTTGTATTTGCGTTCTCGATGATCTGCAGCATGAAGTTACACTTGAATAGCCTTCCATAAATACAACCCATTGCTCCCTGATACATGTCAGTCAAACTTCCTTTCAATCAAGGTGAGATTATAATACTTACCAATCTTGAGCTTGCGCAGCTAATATAAGCGAAGCGATGACAATCGCATCCGCATTCCCAAGCGAGAAATTATTAACCTCATTTTGCAACTTCGTCAGCACCAAACAGGATTGCGAGAGGTAAAGCTCTTTGACCGCCACAGTCTTGGAGGTTTGATACTGTATGTATGCTTGGAAACTTGTAAGTGCAGATTGGACGCATGCATGCGTTTGTGCGAGTTGGTTGTATCTGGTCTTGTCAACACTTGGGTTTTTATCAGGACTTGACGACTTACCCAAGCATATCTATCGGTGGAACCAGTAATTGAGAGGCTTGTTGTGTTGAGCCACTGATGGAGATTTGACGTGATTGTTGGACGATCCAAAAGGCGATATTGGATATATCCTGTTTCCAGGGTTGCAGATCCATGAGCGCATTTTCGTAGAGAGCACCGACTCCGTATGCTTGATGTGTCTGCCGTAATAATGGTCTTGAAGGGCCTGCGGTAAAAAGTCTTTCTGGTTCAGGACTTGCGCTGCTCAGAGGAGTAGATGTTTTAGCGTAAACACAAGCATGCCCAACCCTCACGCAATTGCGACTATCAAAGTTAGTTCATTATCCTCTCTTCTGCGATAGCATGTAAACACAAATTAAATCAACAGTTTCACTAATCAAAACGGAAACCTCTCATCACAACGAATATGCCTCTCCTTACAAGTATCACACCCATTCTTCGACCGCAAATGATGCTGTCTTCGCCTAACAGGGCTATTCCCAGATCTCTCTCTCCTTTCCTTTCCCATCGACGCCATGATTCTCGCATTGAATGCCTTCCACACATCTTCTCAACGGGCAAATATCTCGCTATATACTTCCCTCCAAGCTCTCAAAATGAAGCTATTCAATTCCATGATTTGAGTTTCTCCTCTCTTCCTCCTCAGCCCAACCCACAGCTCCAGCAGCCAAGCTCCCATCCCTCAACCCCACGATATCATTTACGATCGCGCAAAACATTCCAATACCAGGGCCACCACTCTCCAAACCAGGAAACCCAACGCAGGTACAAATCACCCCCCAGTACCTCTACACACCCCCAAATCTCCATCCAATCTCCACCCAATCAAACACCCCAATTGAATTTCAAATCCCCCGCTGATGCTAAGCCACATATTTACAGATCTCAGAACCCCATCGGTGACAGCGGGTGTGGCTGTGAACATCCCTGCTCACTGCTTACACAATCATCGCATCGCACCAATGAGCTTCGCGGGCCTTGGCGTCTTCGTGGCTCAAATAGGTTCCGCGAATATGGGGTGGTGATGAGGCTGAATCTTGTATATGGCTGCAGAGGTATGAAATGATGGTTATCTAAGACCCCCGTTTGGGAAGTATGAACCCCGGGAGAGGTGTTGTCCTACATTACACGGTATACATTCGTAGCTGAAGAGGAGTAGAAGATTTCTATTTCACTATCGTGGGTTGATTTTTGGCGAATATTTGGAATACGTACTTGGCTTTCGTCCTAAGCCCCGAGATCTGTCCAGCTTGGTGAGGTCGGAGTCCTGAGCTTGAAGTAGGAGTTCGGTTACTCTAATGTTCTTCCCCCTGAATCTTTCCTACAAGCGAGATCTGAGTCCTTGTCACCTGACATCTCTCCCCTCTGGGAACTCGGTGGCAGAGATTCTTATACACGTACGAAAATTTCGTATATAGGCCTAATTAGGTAGTTAAAAGTAGAGATCTAGGTACTATAAAGTAGACGTCTCTACTTTTCCGATTTTATACTTTATGATCCTTTACTAAGTAAAGATTAGTAATTAATCTACCTTTATTTATTACTTCTATAAATATAAAGTCCCCTTTTATCTCTCTACTCTAATTACTATACTTATAAAAGTATAAATTAAGTAAGTATAATAAAGAACCTAAATACTAAAGAATCTATAATTTATATAAAGACTCTATAGATAAAGAAAGTATAATAGTCTTTATATCTAAACTAACTATTATTCTTTAAGAGAAAATAACTTCCTCCCCTCTATATTCTAACCTCTAACTATAAGATAAATAGATAGTATATATATATATATAAGAAAGGAATTCTAGAAGTTAGTAATTACTTATAAGTACTTAGATAAATAATAACTTAGGAACCTTATATACTAAATAAGCTTATTATTATAAAAAAGATAAAGAGATACTTAAATAATTATAGAGATTTATAACTACTATATATTTACTTACTATATAGGTCTACTTATCTATTATATTACTTATATTTAACTAATTAATATTATACTAACCTATTTTATAGATTTACTAAGAATTTTTAACCTTCGAAATTAGTATTTAGACTAATAGTACTTAACTTTATAGATATACTTTAAATTAATATATTCTACTAAGTATACTAGTCTAAAATACTTAATATTCTAGGATATTAAAACTAATATATTTTTAAGTGACTTATAATTAATTTACTATTATTTACTTCTAAAAATACTTTATAAGTATAAAACTATTGTATATAATTATGGGTATTTAAATAAATCTAAAAATAATAAATTAACTTTTAAAGCCTTCTATCTACTATTTATTATAAATATTAACTTATATCTAACGTGCATGTATAGCGAACCGGCCAAACAAGCGAACCGGCCAAAATTTTCTACACTCGCGATTGAAATTGTAAGAACTCTACCACAACGCCTCTAATTAAAAAACACTATTCAGAAATTTCTTCCTCAGATACTTCCTCTATAATATTACAGGTGCGCGTATTATGACCAGTCTCTCCGCAGTTGCCACAGCGCCGTGCACGTGATTCTTCCCTCGGCTTCCGACCACTACTTCTCTTTATTTCCTGCATTACCTGCTCACCAACGTCTCTATCATCCTGTAGGTCCTGCGCTTCCTGTTGACTAAGTGATCCTCCTTGCTGTAGGCGTGTTTTTTTAGCTCTACGGCGCTTACTTAGTACTTCATTTGCTTGTCGAAGTCTCTGGTTCTCAGCTTTCAATAGTACTATCTGGTGCATTACTTTTGATGCACCCTTCGTAAACTGGTCAATGGCCTCGTAAATAGGGGTTGGAGAGCTACTTTGGTGGCGTAAAATTCGATCTTTAATAAATGCAGTCTGTGATAAGGCTTCAGTAGGGTTATTTGGTGTCTGGGAAACCCAAGGCTGAGCGGAATACGGGGGGGAGTTTGGAGGCGTTGGCGTCTTTAGCTTAAGATCAAGTGTAGAAATTACACTTTCTGGGTCAAATGGAAGAAGCCCAGCCCCTCGGAACCCTCCTCGGATATTGCTTTCTGTCATTGCAATATTAAATGCGGCGTGGAAGGCAGGAAAGAAATCATCCTTAGTAATATGGATAATCGGAGCCCGCATCATATCTTCAATTTGCTGACCATATGCCCTTTTCAAAGGGCTAAAACAGCCAACGTCGAGTGGCTGGAGTATATGAGAAGAATGAGCAGGCATACAAAGAGTGATAATGTTGTTTTCCTTGCAATATTCCTCAAATTCGTCGGAGTGGTGGCTTTCATGGCCGTCGAGGACTAATAGACGATAACCACCAATAGATTGGGACTTTGTATGCTTCTCAAAATGTCGAATCCAATCCATGCCTTTCTCATTTGTTGTCCAACCATTTTCAGTAATAGCAATCACCCAGTTAGGTGGAAATCCACTGTTTTGGTACCAAGAAGCGAGGTGATTTTTTGCGGCAACAATCACAAACGGTGGAACACACCAGCCTTGGGCATTAACCCCCTGGATTACTGTAACCCATTCCCGATTACCAGGCTGTACTCTTTTTGCTTTTACACGTCCTTCTGAGCTTGTAATAACCATTGCAGTTGAGATAACGCCCATCATAAACCCAGTCTCGTCAAAGTTGTAGATATCTGCATCGTAGATTCCGTACTTCGCTATTGTGTTTCGTACAAGCTCAAACCAGCCTCATTCGCTCAAACCAGCCACGAATGACTTCTGGATCTTCGCACTTAGCTCTCGGATAGTCGTATTTTCGTTGGAAGCGTGTCTGGAGTTCTGGGCGGCGCTTAACAAAGTTATAAGCCCAACGCGTCCCGACGCGTGGCGCGTCGCGTGCTTCAAGAAGTCGATTTGCTATATCTTCAACTACAGATATCCGCGGAGGAAATCCTTTTGTAGCTAGGTCGAGGATATGTTGAACAAGTACTGATTCCTCTAGCTCGGTCATTTTCCGTGAATTGGCTAAAATATCGCGTCGTGAAGGTATACCAAGCAAACGTCGACCTAGCTTCCGGTGGTCTACAGAATAGGTCCTGGCAGCAGCTCGAGCACGTAAAATTGGGTCTTTTTGCATAGCTTGGATAGCTAAGACTCACCGGCTTTCGTCATTTTTCAGAGGCATCCTTCGTTGTAAAGAAATTTAATATTTCGTGGAGGTGTGGTGGGGTCGCCGGGTTTTGGCCGGTTCGCTTGTTTGGCCGGTTCGCTATACATGCACGTTAACCTTTTTAAGATAACTCTTTACTATTTAGATAGTATTCTCTTACTATTTTATTATTAGAATCTTATTTATTAACCTTATTATTACTATTTATATCCTCTTCTTTCTTATCCTTTATATATAACTACTTCTCTATTCCTATAGATATATCTCTATCTAAATAGCTTATTAGATATAGGTAATACTCTAGAGACTATAGTACTTCTCCTCTAACTATTCTTTAATAAACTATTACCTAAGAACCTTAAAACCCTTTTTTAGATATACCTAAAACTCTACTTATTATACTACTATCTATATTTAGCTAAGTACTACTACCTCTACTACTACTTAGACTATAGACTAAACTAGGAATATAGCTACTAAACAAAGTAGATAAAGATACTATTTGTGACGGTTCTGACCATCACGTGCCACTTGTATCACGTGGCGCCGCTTAGCGACCCACACCATGTATGTAGACTCGAGCTCCCTCGAGCTCTCCTCTTCTCTTCAGCTTAGAATCTTCGAATAAGATAGTTCTACGATAAAGAACTAGTACCATATAAAAAGATAACTAAAGAACTTTTATTTAATATTTTTTATAAACTATTTCTCTAAGGACTTAATATTTTCTCTTTCTAAGGTCTTTTACTACATAGAATACTAATATCTAGTATATATCTAAGTAAATTCTTAGTCTTACTATTAGCTCTATAATACTTATAGGGGATTATATTTAATAGTTAAGTAGCTATTTATTTCTAATTAGTACTATAATTAAATGACTAACTTCTCTAAGTTATATTATAGCTTATTTCAGGATAATTTTATTTAAGTATTATTTATATTTTTATTTAGGGCCTCTTCTTTTTTACTACCTTTTTACTTAAGTAATAATAGTCTAGTTACTAGTTATTTAACTAAGTTTATTATTTTTATAAGTTACTT